ACACTTTAAAAGCTTTACTGCCCGGAAGGACTAACAGTAACTATAGCCTATAATAGGTGTAGGTAGTTACACATCAGGTGATGTTATAAGGGATCACACGGTGAACAGATCATGTCACCAATTAGTGACTTAAATTATAATTAGTGATTTGATCCATCAATAGAATTTAATTGACCTAGAAATGGGCTAGATATAACTATATAAGGTAAAGTCAGTAGATGAGATAGCTAGACTGATGGAGAACTGAAAGCTGTGGAGAAGTAAGAACTGTTGTCGATGGATCTCGGGAACGCTACCCGCCTTAACTCAGTACTAGCCAGTCTTATAGAGCGTCATTGTGATTTGATCAGTTCAACTGTATAACGGTGGCAGCAAAATATTCGAATATTTTGAACGATAAAGCGAAATAGTACCCATATTATTATGAGATATAAAATATAACAAGAATGCTTTTCAGATCGCTCTGCTATAGTACCACACAAATTATATGAAAGCATATCCAATTCCATTTGATCGACAAATTTCAGAGCCTTGCTTTGTAAAGGACGGTTTCGAAACAAATTAAACATCAGCTGCACGTACAGGATTCAATGTGTGGTGATCTAACTCAATTTCAAAAGGGTAGAGCCAATGTTTGTGAGTCGGTAGATTCCGAGTGAAATTCTCCTCCGAGATGCGGAAGCGAACTTGGTTACAGACTACAGAGGACAATATTCAAGATTAATAACACTGTCTAGTCATCAACTACTGATATTATAGCTGCTGTTGTTTCTTTGTTTAAAGAACCCGTGCCCAATCTCGTACTGGAAAACTCAATTGTGAGTTTAGATGTGGGTGGTAACTGGTACCTGCTGTTATAGGGTGACCGCTAATTTGCAGTGAGGCTGCATTGTAACGGAGTAATGGACAACATTCTTTGAAAGTATTACTGTTTGCTTCATCACTAGCAAACCTGTTTAACTTTAATGAACTTAGAAATAGCAGCTAAAATCGAGAGAGGTCATAGAAGCCTGAATTGGATTTGCTTTATTTATGTTTATATGGCTTAACACGATGGAGAATATTTTATCGTTAATACGGTTGAAATATAGCTGCACCATACGAAACAATAACCCGATGTATGGCGATCCATCTGTCGTGAATTCGCCTCTTACGACAGGTAAAACTAAATACGACAGTTCAATGTGCAGCCCTTCAAAATGGTAACGCATACCACAACTGATGTAAATACGACAGGTACAATGACTGTCTTAAATTCGACGGTTAGTTACGGTTTGAATATAAAACTACTGTTTAAATGAACTAGACTGGAAAGGAGATCAAGCTATCAAATCAGTCTACAACATACAAATATGATAAAACAAGAAATTGTACAATTTCCAAATTTGGTAGGATCAAGGTTAAATAAATTGGAATACTTTGAATTCATTGGCTGGCTTACGTGACTAGACCCAATCATTCATGTCATTCGTGTCGCCCTTTAACTTGATCAGAAATATGTAATTGTTATTTAGGAAATTAACGCGACACAAATTGAGGCAACACAAATCGGAATAGGATGACCGGCAACAAACTTGGTAAGTTACCTAGATGAGTAACGACAACTTTTGCGCGATAGAAAATATTCGTGCGAGACTAGAATTTATTTTCCCTAGTCATTCAGTTAATTTTTGGTTAGGAGTGTGTTTTAAAGTAGTGTTTTAACGCACAGATGTTTTGTAAATAAAATACATGGGGGGGGGGGGGGGGGGGGGGGGCAAAAGTCGGTATACAATTACATACGTTGGTCTTGATAGCTCAGTCACTGCCCGATTGAGACAATCCTTTCTGTTATGACCTACTAACACTAGCTTCTCAGAAGGCCGAGATATGAAGCAAAACAGGTGTAATCATTTGCATTAAGTGGTATTAGGTGATTGGGTTGCCACTAGGTCCGTACTATAGGAATCGTGCAGTTAGCCCAATTACGGAATCCTAGCACGCTATCACATGATTACCCAATCAATTTTGCTAACGAGATAAACTAATTACTTGAGAGTTGAGAACTTCGTCATAACTTCGTCATATCGTTTCATGAGCCAGACGTTCGACCAGGAATAAAGGTAATAATAGAGGACATCATGTTTTGCTGTACAAAAGCCCAGTGACATTACATTAAGGACTAGAGATCCCGGTAACAATAAAATTTTGTATCAGTGTGTGGAAAACAAAGATCTTAGTGTCATGTGGCTTCAAAATCAGGTCATATTTAAATGCATTTTATGATCGAAAATGGCGATAAAAAGGAAAAACATCAGTATTCCGACGAAAATATTCACGACGGTACGGTCCATCTTCCGTTGACTAAAATGTTGGCCAACTTTGTTTTCGCGACTAAAATTTTCGTAGTTGAGGTATTCCATGGCTGGGAATCTCGTAAGTCAAAATAGTAAAGATTGGGCTGCAGATGCAGAGTATTAATGATTGGTCTAGAATTTGAGAAGGCGTAACTGTGAAAGAACCTATCATTATAGTAAATATTAACCAGTGTACCAAAAGCTGGTCATGGGTCCTCAAACAAACAAACAATTATCAAATCGTAAATATAAAATCAAATGATGAAACAAGAAATGATACCATTTCAAAAATGTCTCGTAGGATTGCGGTAAAATTAAACTTTGAGTTTGAAGATAAAACAAAATTTAAGGTAGTTAACGATTGTTATCGAGTCGAGCAAATACCATCACCATTTCGCGTAATTTGTCAAAGAAAGCCGACGATTATATAAACAGGTCAACTGACATTTTTAGCATTTTTGTGACACTGTTCGATAAATATTGTGCTGACAGACTCGATGAAAAGGATCATTTCCCAGCCAATTTCCGATAATCACAATCCGAAAACGTTTATTAGATTGCAAAACTTTAGAAACTGAAATCTTTCAAGAGAAAGACTATTTAATGAACTGACTAACTGAGAAGTCAAAATAATTTTCACCTCGGCGGTGCAATTTTGCTGCAACTTAGACAAATGACATTATAAAAGTTGTGTCTGGTCCTTGTGTAATTTAATAAAAGATAGTTTGGTTTGGAGATCAAAAAGGTAAAGAACCCTATCGGTTAAGGTACACCGTGCTTGGATAAGGTAGCGCTGCCTGGTTATAAGTCATTACTAGTTACCATAATGATGATAGCTTTTATCTGAAACGTTCTTATATTTATAAAGTTAGATTTTACGGGTTCTGTTTGATATCCGGCAGAGAGTCACACTGTAAATTTTACAGACTTTAATTTTTACTGTGAAGTGAGTGAACGCTTAACGGGCATAGAGATGTTATTATCATGATCACTTAGGATCTCATCAACTAGAAACCAAAACACGATTTATTAGACTACATTTTTAAAATCGGGCACATTTACAGGGGAAACAGCCAGGTAGGATAAAGTATAGCAGTTATATAACATACCTTTATATGCTTCATTTTAAAGCAGCGATCAAAGTTAACAAAACATGCTTCATTAATCGTAACCTGACATTTCACAAACCCAGCTATTTTGGTAATGCTATTGGTACTAGAGTTCATCATGAAATTGACTCGAGCTCTTACATTCCTAGGTAAAGGCTGATGTACAAAATCAAACAGATCATTCAGGGTGGGCCAAAATTCAGTACCCAGCGTTGGGTCTTATATAACCTCCGCCGTGTTTTATATTTGAGAGTTGTTGCTTTGCAGATGGCATACTGTACCTACTTGTTCGAGAATCCCGTCGCCAAAATGTGAAAATTCGAATATTTAAGACCATGCGCCCATTCAATATTAAACACCTATATCGTTTTCTCTGAACATGCTAGACGCCTAATTTTTTTCAGAAACGCGGTTGATTAGTAAATGTTGCATCTGATCTGAAAAAAATGGGACAAAACGGATTAGAAATTACGAAGTTATCAAGCATTTTGTGTATCTCGTTAGCAAAATTGACTGGGTGATTATGTGACACCGTGACACAACACCTTCATTTGGCACCCTTAACGATTCCCATAATGTTTAACGGAGTGGTTAACGGGTTGACAAATTCCTCGAACCAGTGGTGGCAGTAAGTCATATTACCAGAAAGAATTATTTCAATTGGGCACTCAGTGCCCCTGTGGCCTGTAGTATCATACCTTGGAAACTTAAAAACTCCGTTTCAAAACTGATGTTTTTCTTCAAAGTTTTCAAATTCCAAATCATAACAATAATTGGCATCAAAAGGTATATGTTTAATGAAAAACAGTTGGCCTATGTGAAGTCGATATCTTTGGATTGATGAAGCTCACTGCTCTGATTCAAAAGCAAATTAGCGAGCACATTTTAAGGGTATCAGAAATGACATACAGAAAGGAAGCCTTTCCCTCCAATAATAATGAGATCTACGCAAAACTAATTATTTTTTTGACAAATCTAGGTAAAATGCATTTGTCACTTTTAGTTCCCACAAATCCTATTAATATTCCAATCTATTCACAACCATTGCTATAGGTATGATAATTGATATGTCTGAAAAATTATAATTGATTTTGCTGCCTGTCATTTTACGTGGAAGATCGTGCAGTAACTACTGTTATCGAAGAATCATATCGGTAAACTGGTAATAATTGAGTTAACCCCGCCTAGACTCCAGTCTCCACAATTTCTACCACCGAAGAATTATGATATTTCTAATTCAAAATAATAAACTCAACATCATTTATACAAATTTAAAACGCTAGAACATTAGAAGAAATTAAGTTATAACAACTGCAACTGATATGTACGGTTATACGTGATATTTCGTCCTGTTCCCCTGTTTTGTAATCTTCTAATTAGATTTTCATTTACCACAGTCCGGCCTATACCTATCAGACAAATTAATCTCACTCATATCCTTGGGCCTAATCTGATTGAATAATTTTTGATAAAAAGATCGATCAAACGCGCTAGAATTTGTCACTGCAAATTTGTCACTGCATCGCTACTAATTAAAACGGGTCTTATTTTTCAGATACAGATTCTTCCTGGACACTGACACCACCTCTACTGGCCAAGTAACCGGTCAGAATCCTGAGTTCGGCTTCTCCCAGACACATTCCTGCACCCCAGTTACTGATCAGGTGCAGTTCTTATTAAATTATTATTTTAATTATAATGTAAATTAAATTATTATTCCTTCGAAATTCAGTCTTACTGGTGGTTAACACTTAACACAATGGTGTTATCTGATTTTCTTTATTAGAATTTTTAGGAGGAGTATTGTGTGTTTTGTAACAGAGTACATGAACAAACGCGATAACAAAACTAGGTTTGCCTTATCGGGTGTATATAATTGGCACGGTTTTTTGTCATTTGGGGAATCGCATTACATTTCCCTGTTACTTATCCGCCAAAATCTTTAATACTCTAACGTTAAATCAAGTAATCAAGTAATACTCGGACTCAAGAGATTAAAATCTGGTCAACTCTAGTAAAGATCGATTCAGACCGTGCGTGTTAATATGTTGTACTGGTTAACTGGTCAAGTTCAACTTGGTTAAAGATTACTTTTGTGGATTCCTGCACTCTATTCAGTCTGGAACTCAATTTCGATTCGAGTAAGGAATTGTACTGAATTTTGACACAACCCAAAATCCGGACCGGCGAACATAATTCTGACTCGGAACCACTGATTTTAAATTCAAACTTTGAATATTCAAGAGGTTTTCAAGTTAAAAAACCAAAAACGGAAGGAAGAGAAAGAAAGCATTAATATATAGAATATACCTGAGTATTGAGTACTATTACTAAGGTAACAGAATAGATTATAAAAGTTGAATTACATAATCTGCTAGCAAACCCTTCGACTCCTAATTGAGTTCAAATACACGACGCTTGGAAAGCTGTGCAGCTATATGTACATAATAATTAATCCGGGGGGAGGCAAAACGTGTGCACAATAGCTATCTATAAAGCTATAATAATATTTTCAAGATGTGTGTGTTTTGTCTGTGTGTCCGCGTGTAATTTCCGAGCGGCTTAATCAAGAACACGGTAAGAGTTACTGGGCTGGTTTTTTCTGTATAGTGCCGACAAAACTATGAGTAAGTCAAAATCAAATGGCAAAGGGTTTTTAAATCAGTCGGTGGTAAGTGGTTTAATTGTTGTTACATAAAATGGCTTGAGCAGAACGGCAAGAGTTACGGGGCTCGCTCACTCTCTCCCATTACTGTATATTATGTAGCTGCATAAGTAGCGGCATAATTGGGTTAGCCCGGTAAGATTCGCTGTAATGTTATACCATAAGTTTATTAGGGGAGGGGGCACTGTTATTCTGTTATTGTTTGGGGCCTGTTTTGACCGTAGAGAGAGTTCATACGACAATGTTATGCGTGTTTTCAAATATAATAGGCGGATGTGGTGCGGAGTTAACAAGGGTTAATTCTATAACGATTTAAATAAAAATGGAAAGCGGTTCAAGACGGGAGTGATGAGGTGTAATAGTCGGTGTTCAGACCTTATGATCATGGAATATGGTGCCTAATGGCTAATCCGCTAATAATGACTTAATTATCCACACGAAAGAACTGATTATGAGATTATTTTTAAAGATACTATTGGGTCACCTAATGCGGGTTTTGACTCAGCGGGTAATTACTCCTACCCTTTTTAACTGCGGCAGTGAAATCCCGGCCGAAGGCCGGGTTACACTAGTATGTATATAATACAGGGAGAAGGGGAGGAGGAGGCAAAATTCAATACTTGAGTCGTTATTATTTGATTTTTTATACTCCCGTATACTCCTCGAATGAGTGATAATATCAAGTCATACCAGAAAAAGTTATTTCAATCGGGCAGAAAGATAATAGAAATAAGCCCCACGTGTGTGTATTATCAATTATTTCCCCTACCCCCTGCACATTTTTCAATATGTACTGATAAATACACTCAATTGCGACTACAGCTGAATATCTGTCCCTCCTTAATGTAAAACTTTTAGATTGGATTTACAGAACAATGGAAAATAATGTTTAAGGTTGATAAAGGTTTTCCTTAAGACCGACTCATAATAAAATATACAATGTTTAATGCTTGATGAGGTACAGAGATATGTAGAATACACACCTCGTGGGTACAGAGTTATGTAGAATACACACCCCGTGGGTACTGGGTAACACTCACTGGGTGTATACTCTTTATATATGCTGACTCAGTATATAACCGCTTGTCTCGAACAAAGGAATAACAAGGAATTGTGAAAGAGTTAAGTTTTTTAATGAGGAACCACAAAATTAATATAAATGCTGCTCTGTAAATCTCTTTATAACTAGTTTCATGTACCTACAAGCTGATATAACCCTCAACCCAACCACTATATTTGCACTACCGAGTGTCCGATTTAATAACTCAGTCAATGAATCACTGATTCAGTGATAGTTACATGGGCAGCTGCTCTCAATTTTGCGTGAGATTATATTTCAATTTATAGTGAATATTAAGTTTGTACAACTCACTCTGTTGGGTTTTAACTGTGTGGGAGGTGAGACTAATTTGTTGAAATTGCTTATATTTCTATAAATATAGCGGTTACCCAGAGGATTGCTTAGTCAACAAATCTGCAGATTTAAGCGACCGTGCCATTAGAGGAAGGAAGTCGAGTAATGTTAAACACGATGAAATGGACTTATAAACATTACTTTTAATAAGAAATATATTTAGCGGCTATTTTAACGGATTATATTGACATTTAGGATTAAATTGATAAAATAATTAACCATATAATGTGGTTAAAAAACCTCCAGGCTTTTGACTAATCGTAGTCTCTAAATAGCATATAACTACTAAATATCATATAACTACTAATATAACATAACTTCAAAATTAAAGAAAATTGAATTTATTTTTACGGGATTGTGAAAAGGATTCTATGTAAACAACAAGTTAATTTAAATTAAGAGTGAGCGTCCAGAAGTTCCCCACAAAAATTGCAAGTTCTGTTATGAAATGATGTGCGACCAGCCCGGAGGTCAGTGTCAGAATAAGTCCTACACACGGTGCACACTGCACCTGTTAAACAGTAAACTTGCTATTAACATGCTCATTCAATTTGTACGCTATATTTGCGCTGGTAAATGTGTTAATATCTGAACAAACGAGCACTTCATGCTAGTGCATTTTAATATGTATAACGTACGAGAACACTGAACACTGCAAACGGTCGAAGATTCCAACTTCCAATCAGTATATTGATTTTGGCAGTGAGGAGGTTGATTTTTATTCATTAGGTCTGTTATACTTCAAGATCTTGGTTCAACTCTAATATCACATATCTACTTAAACTAATAAGAGGATGTTCTAAGAATAATTAAGTAAATGAACCGAAACAATATGATAAATGTATTCATTAATAGAGTTGGAGCTTTACAGCTTTATAGTTGTTATGGACGGTTGTTTTTGGAATAAAAACGTTTTTAACCACGCTAGGAATTAACACGGCTAGGAATTAAGCTTTCAGCCTTCTCATTTGAGTATCGGGAAACCTTGTAGTAACATATACCATTGTTTTTTTTAAAGAACATGTTACAATACTATTCATTCATTATGCCTAGCAGTTTTCCGAATGCAGCCCTGATATTTAAGCATTCTTGATAATTTCATATTACTAACTTGTTCAAATTCTCTCAAAAGGACTGAACAAGTGAACTGTAACGTCTTGATTGACTAGGTGAATACAATATCTGTTTATCATACTTGTAGTACAGTCAGCACCACCCCTGATCAACCTTAATGTAGAGCAGAGTGGCGGGATTTTTGGCGCGTTCATTTAATTAGTTTATGTGAAATTTGGGATTTAACTGGATACCTTCATCCTTCATAAAATTAGTTAAGTTGGAAATCAACCCTTTAAATGAAGGTTTGCATCTCGGGTTTAGAAGAAATTTTAGAATAAGATATGAAACATTTTCTAACGCGCCAATTTTTGAGTCTTGTTATTTCAATACTTAGAAATTGAGTAATGGCAGTAAAAATATTGGTTCAACTAAACAGTACACATGTGACATGACGATGACATTTCAAACTTGCCAAACATCATGTCGCCCAACTCTGTATTTATATAGAACCGGTGACACAATAATAAAACAAATATTAATAAAACAAATATTTATTTTTACGGCACAATCAAACAATATCAATACTAAATAAATCAGGGGAGGTTTGAAGAGGTTTCAAGTGCCGAAGGCCACTGCTTATCTTTAAGATTTGAGAGTGACCTGTGCTTGAAACCCCCTCAACCATAATTGTAGTTATCCCGTTCATTACCCTCTAAAAGGGGCTATGAATACTTTGGAAGCTAACCGTTGTTATTTGGGTGGGAGTTAATCATATTCATAGGTTTTATATTGTCAGACACTGCCCGACAGAGAGAGCACATGCAGAGTCGTGTACAGCGTATTACTCTAAAAAGAGTCGCTTTTAAGAGAATGGTGTTAGAGTAACAGGCATTTAAATATTCATAGCATTTTTGAATGATGGGGTATAATAATCAATTAGTCGCTAATTTTATTCATAGGTTTTAGACTATGTCTAAACGTCTAAGATAGGAAAAAACTGTTTACTCATCAACTTATTCAACATCTTAACACGGGTGATTATCAGTGTAATTGACTCATGTTTGCATTCAGACGACTTTTTAAGAACACTGCTGATAGTCTGAGACCCTAGTCTTTGAGTTTATATGATATGAGCCAAACAAGGTTAGTCTGGAATATCTAGGCCACTGATACTGAGACTGAGACTGAGACCGAGACTGAGACCAGACTGAGACCGAGACTGAGACCAGACTGAGACCGAGACTGAGACCAGACTGAGACCGAGACTGAGACCGAGACTGAGACCGAGACTGAGACCGAGACTGAAAGCTAAATTCAAACCCACATCAAGTTTGACTTAATGTACACTGAGTTTTTGATGAAAAGTAAGTGTCCTGCGGAACTGGCCATATCAGATTATTTTCAGGCGAGTCAGAAAGGGACCGCATTTTAATTTTGTAACCGGAAACCGAACTGGTTCTTTCAGTTGGATGTTTTTTTCTCAAAAAAGGCAAAATTTCACAAGATTTCAAACTAAAAATGCTAACATTGCCAAATTCTAGAAATTCTTAAAATATTGGTTTCTGGTAGCTTATATCCGGAGTACATTGATCAATTATCCGGCCGGATCCGGATTCAACCAGATATGCAGTCGGTTCCTTAGAGCTCACCAAAATGGCGAAATTGTGATAAATAATTTTATCAAAGCAATTCGCAAGACATAAGATATAACCACTAATTTAACCACTAATTTAAGAAATCACGCACACGCGAACACAATCTAGTGACTGTGAGGTGAAGTTGTTAAGGCTAGGGGCAGGGGGTGAAGCTGTTAAGAAGCTGTTAAGACACAGCATATAAACTGAGCTGGTAGATGAGAACAGCTGTCCTAAATGAGAGCACCTGTCATACTCCTAATACACGTCACGACCAGTGCCACACTTTTAATCTTTCTGTTCATTAGTTTAATGAACAATTATATTTATATGCATAATATTTGTTTTAATGAATAATTACGCAAGGTAATGGCCGTAGTTTTTAGACGCGCCATCTTAGCCTTTAAGAATCAAGTATTCTGATCTCGTTATATCCTCGCAGGTAATTGGAATATCTATAATTTGATAATACCTTCACACTCCTTCTGAGCGGTGCAAATGCCCTCACATTGTTCAGACATTGCCGATCATCTGCAAAAGTATGATTTTGGGAGAGAAACGGTTCTATATAACTAAACAACGTGAAGTACGTGAGAAATAGTCTACGGAAGAGTAACTGAACTAGAAAGATATAGAGCAGATATATAGAGAGAGAGCACCTGTCACCCTGAGATACTACGCTCCTAATTAACCACTTGCCATCTTACTGTATACTTTAAATCGTAATTAGGAGCCACTAGGCTACTAGGGGTGGTTAGTATATACTCGGTGGTATTAGACTGGGCCTTTGGCTTTACGTCCAGCGTAAAAATCAGGTACTAACTTACTTATGATCTCTCGCATGAGCCATTAATAGGTGACTGTATTTTGATGTAACGAAAGTCAAGATTTTGTTTCTAATAGAAGCAAAAATTTAATATTTTATTGTTAATATAAACCGTACCATAGAAGTTCTATCGCATCACGTACTCAGAAAGTGCCCTCTAACTAAAACAAAGACTCCACCACGTAACTGATTACGTGACGCGTTACATACCGTCTAGCTGGGGTTTAAGTGCGGCCACTAAACATTGCAGCTCTAAAGAAATATATTACTAAAACATAGTGAAAGATCTCGAAATTTCTTTGCATGTCTTTTCACATTATAATCATTATACTCTTGATGATTATAGTTATACTACCTTTAGAACGACAAATTTAGTCTACCATAAGTTTAGTCAAAATTTTGACTAAAATTGTTGGTAACCAAATTTATTGAGACTACATTATTCGGCGACTAATTTAAAAGCAGACCAAAATTTCAGTAGAGCATGATATATGACATGAATATTATTGAGCTTACATTTTTAATCAATAGGTCAGGTGTGCTGTGTAATCTTTTCGGCGGGGGGGGGGGGGCAACACGTTACGCCACTGAGTACATGCAGGGAGTTTATAGTGGAGCATGCGAGCTCGTAGTATCAGCACCACGAAAATGAACTTTTATTGACTGCAGTGCAGATTTTGAGACTGATAATCATATCGAGCACCGCGGTATAAACGAATATTGATCTTCAATTTCCATTTCTTCATAAAGATAAACTGATCGTCGTCATAGCTGTCGACAATCAAGTTATCTTTAGATTGCTTCAAAGAGCTGCTTCTCAAAAGAAGGATCCTTTGCGATTTATCAAATGATAGATTAATTGATTTTAAACTGTCCTGACTTATTCTGTTCAATGTGGCAGATTTTAAAGGTGCTCGAGATCTGCACAACTCAGAGCAGCTCAGCAAAATTCAGTTAGCAGCACTTACAACATTATGAACTTGTTAAGGGGGCCGAAAATCGATCATTCAAAACCGCTTAAAACGACAAATCAAACTGCTTAAAAACGGGGAATAAAACTACCAACGTCACACTTTAATTTTATTAAATAAACAGTTTAAGGGGGCCGGGGGGGTCTTCATCAAAATTCTCTCGAAATTGACTTTATAGTTGTTTCTGGTAGAAGGGAATGATATCTACCAGCTGCTTTTGGTCCCATGGAAAAATATTTTTCCTAGCCGATGTAGGAGAAGATAGTTTTTAAGACTCGATTTTCAGAATTTTCGATTGAAAATCGCTCGCGCAATACAATTACTTATAAGCGCTGACCTTAGACCGGCGATAATTTCGGCTAGGAACAATATTTTTCCATGGGACCAAAAGCAGCTGGTAGATATCACTCCCTTCTGCCAGAAACAACTATAAAGTCAATTTCGAGAGAATTTTGATGAAGACCCCTCACCCCACCCCTGAACAAGATTTTTGTGTTGCAGTTGTGATCACATTTGAGGATGAACAAATCAATACCATTCTCAAAAATTATTTTTGAGGGTTGATTATCCAATTAGAGCAGGAATTTATAAAATCTGTCATAAATCAAACAATTTGTCAGATGTGTCAGAGTCCTGCATAATTTAATTCAAAATCTTACAAATAAAATGACAAATCTCGACATCTTACTACTTACGATATGTCGTTAGTTAATATATTTGTTAGCACTTAATTTATGCACCTTACACAACCCATACCTATGCATTACTTTTACTTATTTAGTTATTTATATCAGTTTTTAAGCTAATTTTATAACTTGCATTGCTTTTATGAAATAACTTAATAGCTGAAACCTAAAAATCAAGTCTTCAACATTATTATCAGACAGATTGCTGGCGGCACGTGTAGATTTTATTTATTAACTTTAATCAAGTATGACTTAACTTATTTCTTACTTTGTTCCTTCTATAATCTGATATCTCTGGACAACTTACACAAGGTCACTGCAACTGGGTCAGGTTCCCAGCCTATAATTAGATTAGATACCTCAAGGCAATAAAATTAAATCAATTACTCTGTTAACATCTGACTCACAAACATGTTAAGACATTTTGCCCCCAAATAACTCTAAATTCTCCTCAGTTTATAGACTACCTGGAGAAGACGAGTCTTGTTATTGAAGTGGTAGGAACCCAGATACCAACTCCAATGAAAGCTGGAGATGAGAGAACCACCAAACAATTGATGGCTTCTAACTTCTCTTTGAACCAGACCCAACTAGCATTGGTAAGCTAAGCATACCACCTTTTAGGTAAATGTCTATCAATCCTATTCTCCTACTCAAACAATAACATGATTTAAGAAGGCTGTTTTGTTATGCTAATGGCAATTAGCCAGCTGTTAGAGGGCTGTTACCGTAACAGCTCATAGCCCTCTAACAGTCGGTATTGTACTTGCCGTCTGAAGGTACTGGTTGTGGGGCACTGACTCTGCTTCCATAAACTTGGTAATGGTATGTCATATACTTGGTATGTCATATAATACTTGGTTATGGTATGTCTAAGTTAATTGCAGATCGCTTGATTATTCATGTAATTATGTCCTTGTCATCCATTTGATAAGTTTTATAAGTCATCGCTGTTCGTTGTTGAATCCAAGAACTATGACATATTGTATCAGTATTAAATGTCAGGAAAATGATAAATCGCGGACTAGAATATACTAATATCGTTATGCTAGATTGTCCCAAATCTCAATCAATATAATAACTTATATATAATAACTCTAGTATATTATATACTAGAAGATAAATCGAGTTATTGTTCACCACTAAGCTAAATCTTGTCGTTTCAACGCACCGCAATGTTTCATAACATCGGTTACTATAAAAGTAAAATACGAGTAAAATAATCATTCAGAAATTATATTAGAGCAAAAAATAGCCAAATTTAATGACAGATGGATCCTGAGAAACAGATCATAATGGGTGAGCTGCAGTCCACACAGAGACGAGCGAAGAAACAGCAAAATAAACTGGTACGTCTTTTTTAGAAACCTGCAAGTCTAAGCGGTTGAACAAACACTGCAGTTTCGATATGTTTATATTTATAATATCTGATGAGATTTTTTCGATCATATTATAATTATTGCTGCAGCCTGCAGCAGAAAAACTGTTTGTTGTTTTTCGAATCCGATTAAAGCAACTCATCACTTCCTATCTGAAGAACTAGTACAATGATAGTGGTCTCGATTATGGTAGATATCACTTAGACAGCGAGATGAATGAACGGTATCTAGCTGATAAGAAATATTTGTGATCTCCCTGATTGTGTCCCAGTTCATAAGAAGACATGTTAATATAATGCTGTCATCTTGGAAGCAATAAAGTTGGTCTCGACTATTGATTATTACCGTGCTGTCACGACCAGTTTCATAGAACAATGTGGGCGTGGCGCACCAATGTAATCTTATTAAGCTTAATAAAAAACTTTAATTTCAGATTAAAGTACAGGAACTACTGGATGCTGCGAATGATAACGAATCTGAAACAATATCAGTAAGTAATAGCAATAAGATGATAATAAGACATACTTTTATCCTAGTCTAACAAACTAATTGTATATCTTACTATATACTTATATATAAAGAGAGACGATATATATATATATTTTGTAGCTGTACTCCTACACATTAAAAGTCGGTGTTGATTAGATCTTCGAAATAAGTCTTTGCATCATTTTATTAAACATCGTTATCTGAGATAAAATTGTTCTAAAAGCAACTGGAATATTCACAAATCTTTAAAATAACTTACAAACTAGGAAAGGAAAACAAGTCTTAGGAAGACGTACAAAACTATGTGACTTAAAACGGTACAAAACTAAAATATACTGTGTAATAATCAAACGAAAAGAATGGCTGTGTACATTTTATCTAATCTATTCAAGATTAGTTTCTCGGAAAAAGCTAGATTTCTCTGAATCAAGCAGTAAAAATATATAAATAGTAAAGAATATAACACGTCTCTGATAGCAATATTGTAAACTAAACACGGGTTTATAGGCTGAGATCATGTCAAATAAAATAAATAAACTAAACACTAAGCTCCAGCGGATTTAAAAAGGATGTGGTTACTATCGAGGGTGTTCATACCCCCATAACGCTCAAGGGTTTTCAATTGGGTCTGGTAGAACCCCTCTCTAGCTTCCATGGCCTTTTCCCTATCTGCTTGACTTATTTCAGGTTTAAATTCAAGAGCGTCCACTATAATAACAGAAAGGTGCGTACTAAGTGAAGAGTTATATAAGGCTACTGAACTAAAATCTAAATCATGATCAATATCTAAAAAGTGATTTACTAACTTACAACTTCTGATACCTTTCTTAATGTGGCTCTTATGATTAGAAAATCTCTTAGGGAGATTAGAAGTAGTATATCCTACATACGACTGTTTACAAGTTCTACACTCCATTAAATAAATAAGGTTATTACTCTGACAAGTTATATATTTAGTAATAGGGAAAACTTGTTTGGAATGGTGACTACTAAATTTGGAACAAGGGGACAGGAAACATTGCTTACAAACATAGCATTTTCCACAGGCATGGCACCCTGCGTTGTCAGCCTCCCGAACAGCCGGCAATATTGCAGCGTCTGGTTCAAGAAATTGACTAGCAGTGGCTTCTCCATCTCTATCACTGCTTACAGTTCCACTAGCACGATACTTATTGTGTACAAGCATGCCACCGATAGTTTGATTCTTTCGGTGACTTACAAATACACTGTCAGCACGTACTAGCTTCTTCAAGGCTGGATCGAGATTAAGAAGGTGCTTATACTTGTGAATAATGCTCCCCATGTTGGGAAGTGCTGGATTTTGATCCATCACCATGGGTATTAGACAAGTAGTCGTCTCATCCTTATTTTTAGGGGCATACAAGTTTTTCCTATTGGTTATATCACTAAATTTGTTGAAAGCATCGTCTACAATACTAGAATGGTAACCACGGGCTACAAGGTAACCAGTATATACCTCCCTTTGCTCTAAGAAATTAGTGTCTTCGCTATTGTTCTGCCTCACTCGCCTCGCCACACCATAGGGTATGTTTTTGAGAACATGGCTCCTATGACATGAGGTGGGGATGAGATAGCAGTGGGTGTCACTGGGCTTAGAGTAAAGTTTGGTATGAATAACATCGCCAACAGCATAGACATAGGTGTCTAAAAACTCAACACCATCCTTAGAGTAGTCGTAAGTAAACACAAGGTCCGGATGGATACTATTGAGCCATTCCATAAATTGTAGAAGCTCCTCAACAGTACCAGGCCAGGCCATGTATATATCGTCACGCAACCTACCCCAGAATGCTGGTCTGTGTGGCGGGCCATGTTCTAAATCTCTTTCATTAACTAAAATATCGATCTTATCCATTGCACAATCTGCATACTCACATGAGTTCTTAGGACCCATCGCCGCTCCACGCTCCTGACGGTATGTTATACCGTTGAACGAAGCTATGTTGTAATCAAGAGTGATTTCTAGAGCACTAATAATGCATTCTGTACTGAACAATTGATCATAACTACTTCTTTCATTCAGGTGCTTGGTGCATTGTTGGATCCCCATATCCCTGGGGATATTGGTGAACATGTTGGATATATCTATGGCAACATGTATCACCTCCTTACCCAACAATATGGTGGACTCATTCAAGCTATCAATCTTCCTCAAAAAATGAGGGGTGTCAATAATTCTATAATCTAAAATAGCCTTCTTCAATTCGTATGCAGTCAGGGCAGATAGGTTCTCAATGTACGAACCACATCCAGTAGTAATCATCCTCCCAGGGTACAAAGGTGGCTTGTGGGCCTTGGGATTCAGGTACATATTACCAGGCTGGTTGAGCTCCGTACACGGAATAACCCACTCCCTGACCTTCTTAGACATACCTAATTCTTCTTTATACTTGACTGTCCAACATGAAATTTTATCAATTAATTCTGAAACTAAATCATCTACATTATTTACAATACTATATACAGATCTATCATTCAAATGTACACCTATTCGTTGAATATATTCTTCCTCTCCAAGAAGAAAGAATCCTACCCCTTTGTCAAAAGGTCTAATAACCACATCCTTCCATCCTTATATATTTATTTATATATCCGTACTATTTTACTGACACACCATGGCATCAACTTTAACACGAATTTCCGCAAAAACCGTAAAAGATATAGAACTTAAACTTTTTTGACTGTTTCAAATGCCTTAAACCTGCTGGTCAAATGCAGCTATATTCGAGAAAATCTAAAATCAGTTATGTTCTAATTAAACTTTATAACTAATAATCTATCTCCGTTTTTTAAAACTATTATTTACATTTTACAGGTTGCTGACCTCCAGAAGATTCTGGAGTCAAATGCGGATTCTATGGGGATCTGTGTGGCAGGTAAGAGATTATTATAATGACAATAGTGTTTTTAAAATGGGAGAATAGTCCTTGTTCGTTATTTATTTCGTGAATTATCTAGGGCAGGCTCCTACAAGAATCTAAGGCTGACAAATCAATCTGTAAGATGATCTATAAACTCATTGTTTTATTGATTGTTAAACATTAGCAAATAGCAACTAACATCAACTAGTTATATTAGCAACTAACCAATTCACCGGGTACAACAGGACTTCTTGCTGTTCTAAAATTTAGAAAAAATTCTAGAAAAAATTCTAAAAAAGATGAGCTTAAATTGTAAACCTCGAACTTCGAAGTGGTCAAATTGGTGTCAGTATTAGAAGTGAGTGATAGAGGGGAGGTGGTGCAAGTTTTTTTCTGGCACGTGACAGTGATTTAGTGATTAACCAATGCTTGCAGTTGTGACCAATCAAATTCCAGCATTCCTGTCACGTGCTGATGTTACCTGCACGGCCACCTCCTCTCCATTGCCACGTGTATTGAGAATGCTACATTATTAGACTTATATGCTTCTTTTTGGTACAATTATTATCTTAGTTCTAACATAAATATCGAATTAACTCAATGCATGATCTCCAATAATACGATTTGGTTGTGGAAGTTTAACTTTAGAGTTAAGATTTAGATGTGTTTTAGAACTTGTGTAAAATCTGTCTCAGTGTCTCTGCACAGAACTATAAGGCTTGTGTAAAATTTGTCTCTGAACAGCAAGACTAAAGTCCTGTTTCCCCGCATCTCTCCTCAGTTTTCAAGATGAAGGTATCTAAAGCAAGAGAGGAAGGTAACCTGTTTAAAACCACTGCTAAAGCTGTTAAAACTAACGAGGATGTTAAGGAGGTTGCTGACCAGACCAAATCTAAAGCGTGTACCATACTCTAAAACTATAAAACTATAAAACTCTAAAACTGTAAAACTATAACAAGGACTGGTATAATCTGGACTTTTAAAGTGTTCGGTTTTTTCCTTGGAAAGATTTAAGAAAATGACCATGACCAGTTCACACTACAAATTACAATTTATAAGAGATGCCAGCCACAGTTTAGGTTTCAACTTTAACCGTTAAACTGTGGCTGGGATCTTTTTTAAATCGTGATCTCATATTCATAAATATATACTTGCAGTTTATCTATCTGTCTTCGAAGATTTACAACGCGTTTAAAATGAACAAATATATTTAATATTATATTGCCACCATTGAAACCCGCTAAAAAACTAGAAATAGCTCATAAGTAAGCATCAATTAGGGTAATGTTTCCGGCCATCATTGCGTTTGTTAGTCATCATTTTCGTTGCGTCTTTAAATACAAAATTTTCGCGGTCTATTCAAACATCAGGAACGCTGTTTGTTTAAGAATGTAGTGTTTTTGGGTATTTTTAACCCCTGTTGACTCAACGGTTTAGTCCTAGCACAATTTTATGCGATGAAGTTGGCCCCTCCCCCTCCCATGATTACTTTTGCCAATTCATCAGAAGAAGTGAAACAAACCCTGGCTGATTAGAGCAGATTGTGCTAACAACGTGGCATAATATTTCGGGGTCTTGCCTAAACAATGTGATCTGGATCATATAGATCATTATCCGAGTGCTTGTGGCAGGATTATTTCAACATTTAGATGCAGGTAATTTATTATGGGATCATTTTAAACATTCTGTGACAAATATATCTCCAAGTTGTATCAGTTTTTGCAATTGCAACATTTCAAAGATAATGTGCAGTGGCGCGTGGGTTATTTTACTTTTGTTGTTCATTTTATGAGAGTGATTTTTCTTACTGTACACTACGACAGTAAGAATTTTCATCTGTAGATTCAGTATTATATAAGTTAAGAATTTTTACTGGTTACGAATTTTTAGTCGTATTTTCATTTGTTTTTCATCTCAGACATTTTCCCTAAATTATGTATAATATGTTATGTAGAAGTTTTGATGAAGTTTGTAAATAGCGGAAAAGTCTGTGATGTACTTTTAATTAAGTACAATTAGTGTACATATGTCACTTATATTTAACATTGAATAAGTTGTAGAGTAATTATAAAAATTGTCTTATTTCTTTTTTTGAGCTCTTAAAAAGCGGAAAAAGCAACAGCTAAAAATATTAAACTAAACCAGAATTATATTATTATTAACAACAATCAGAAATTTTAAAATAAAATGCAATCTCAATATCTATATGATAAAAGCAAAGAGTTCCAATACTAAGCTCAAAAAACTTGACTCAACCATATTTCATCATATATAACAATGTAAAAATAATCCCGTCCCATTATTACAGATTTACTATTCAGTTAAGAACACACCGCTGGTCCGCTAGTAGCAACTTAAAAAACAGGGGTGGACGTCCTAGTTCCTTATGTTGGAGCGTAACATTGCAGTTATTGAGCTAACTTTAGGCTGCTTAATGCTTTTTAACGATCTTTCTCTACCAAGAGTAAAAGATTGCACTGATTCTTAGTGATCATTTCTCAGAAATATGTCCAACTGTAATTGCAACCTTTAGTTGTTGGCACATACCATCAGGGTATAATTCTGAATCAAATACCATTTCAAATTCATGTACTATAAGTAAGTTTTACTTGAGGAAATCACCGACATATTCGTCTCCGACTATTATCCGTCTCCAACAGAAACACAAATAAATATCAGTCATCATTCCTATTTTTTATCTCCAAAATAAATCATCATTCCTATTTACTATTTGTCATCTTTTTCCTGTTTGTCATCTTCCTCAAGTTGTCTACCACACCGGTACTCCACCTCTTTAATATACTGCTCATAGAACTCTGTATTCTTTCCTGCAAGAATATGGGGTCGTTCATATATAACGTAATCAGCCGAGGGGGAGGCTAGGGGGTTTCGAAATGATAACACTAGTGTAATTTATGTTTAAAGGTATGTAATGTATGTAAGGTACGATACAATTGTGCTATTTCGGCCTTCCGGAGTCCGGACGTAGGATAAAATAGTTGTGATGATCCTGTAGTTATTACGAACCATTACAGCAGCAGGGACACGATCTTATCCACGTATATACAGAATGTAGGAAGTTGAACGGTGGGAAGGGTAAAAAACACTGAGACTCGGACTCCTTTACCAGCTGAAATGAAATTAAGTTGTCAATTCAGGACAAAATTCTGTTACATAAACATTCAGAAATTGTTCAATCTCAAGTCCATATTATTCTCTTTTACAAATGGAAGGTATTATTTATACCTTGTATCTTTGCAATTGCCACAACTGCCTGGTCTTATCAAAATCTCCGTCGTAAGTTTTGCCGAATATGGACACAAGAAGGTTTGTCAGGAGAATTACGGTCATCATTGTGTACATTCCCAGCATTATTCTTCCCAGTAACCTGGAGAAAATTTTGATTGTGAGACCATTGCCTCGGCAAAGAGAGGACCTTGAGGAATGAGGATAAAACTTATCTCATGTTTTAGAAGTTTTACTCCTTTTCCGCCCAGAAATGCAACGTTCTCCCTTCAAAAACCTCATTATAGCTTTTGATAATATACAGCTATGCAAATAATCAACTAATTTATAAACTAAAATTAATTAATAACTTATTTTTAAACTAAAATTAATTAATAACTAACTTGAATGTACGACAAGTATCCCCGCAAATGTAATCCTCGCAGTTAGCGGCCTCATCTACTGATGTACCGTCATTGTTAAGCTTAACACTATCTAGATAGTGTTCGTACTTACATACTCCTGTTTCTATCTGTAACAATTATAGTCATGGTAATATGTTGCTAATCGTTGCTAATTGGTGATAATTGGTGATAATCATATGTATTGCACATAGATATAATAGAACGATGCACCAATACAGTCACATGATCATTAGAAAATTATATTCATCATCTTGAAACCCACCCCTTGTTCAAGAGTGTCCAGGTCCAACTCCCCGAACATATTCACATAGGGTCTCTTGAGAATATCAGCTATCTGACCAGCAGGTACACTCCTCGGATATGGGTGCAACAGAAACTCTGCGGAATTTTTGTTGATTGGAATTTGTAACATGAAAGTGGTTTTGTGATTAAATTCTCAAAAGTAGGCTCATGTTGGACTTTAATCATTTAATATCATGTAATGGTCGGGACTTAATTCCCGAGAATCAAACTAAAGGGAAACGCCTCAGCAAAGATATTCCTAGATTTTTGAAAGAGCGTATCAAATCCTTTTAATGTTTTTGTCTAGCAGAATATCATACCTGAAACGATTCCATAAGCGAAGATGGTTAGCAACAAAAAGGAGGCAAAGAAAACTAGATCTGCTATCATGTTTTTAATACTGATGAGTTTTGGTCCAATATCCTCGAACAGTTGTAAGAACTGAGTAAACCGGATGATGTACCCGATGTAGGACGCAGACACTGAAAAGATTTAGATATATTAGCACGGTTGAAAAATCTGGCCGGTAAAAGTTCGAAATTGCAATATACACCATAGTATAACTTTAAAGTTAGTAAAGCTTTTATCATCACTTTACAAATCTTAAGAACAGCTCTGTTTCAATAGGTTCAATAAATGAGAATGCTCTAGTGCTCTCATTAAGGGAGAAGTACAACTACAGCTCTGAGTTTGGTACCTTTATGCCGAGGAATTTCAGGCTTAAAGACACACGCATCAGATAAGAAGGATATGGCGGAGTGACAAGATTGCACCATCCAGTAAGGCCGGTACCCACAAATAAAGTTAAGTTAGGTACTCACAAACAGCTTTAGCTACGAGGTAAGCGTTTTCGTTTCCTTGGAGAAGGAATGTAAGGATCACGTATAAAAGGAATGTAGATGCTGAGAACAGATCAACTTGGTTGTAACCATTGCTGAAGTAGTGACACAGCTTGGACTTTATGTTGTAGCTTTTCACCTGCATAATAAAGTTTTTTAGGTATTATGATAAAAGTAAAATAGCATTTTTTATAAATGTTTTGCAATCGGTTTCAGCGACTTAAACAGAACAAGAAAGAGCTCGAGGTTGAGCTCAAAAAAGGTTCTTACAACAGGTTATCAACATTTTTCAAGTTCACTTTGCTCTCCATTAACTGTTTTGCGTTGATTTTTATATTCATTATGTAATTTATAGTTTCCAGATCAATTTCCAGATGAATTTCCAGATCTATGATTTATTATTGTAGTGTGATTCCCAATTTCTAGATACAGTTAAGACTTAAAAGCTAGTCAAACAATTTACAATCTTACGTACGTTTCTTGCAAATACCAAGGAATACAATCAAATAGTTTTTTACTATAGCTGCTAAACATTTAGCGTAATAATATAAAATATAGTACTGGTCAGGGACTCTAGTCGTCAAATAAATCATCGTGAAAGTGAAACTAGTTCCACTTCAACACACACAGAACATTCTGCAATTTTTCTGATCGACCTAAAATTACAACTTGAAACCACAGGTGATATTGAATATTTTAGAAAGAGCAATGATTATAGTTCCCGACATAATAAGCACAGCTCCTATCAAGGACAACGTCTCCGCTGAATTCCCGAACAACACAATCTGTATGAAGAACGCAAGTGCAGTGTCCAAGTTCCTGACAAGTGACGCAGAAGCCGCGCTTTCATACTTCAACGCCAAGTTCATGGCAACCCAGACAATTGGAAGACAGATGCTACAAATAACTAGGAGTATTCTGGGGGTGTAACAGAGGGGAAGTGTGTATTCATCACCCGAAGCTACCTGCCATCCAACTCCTGTGAAGAGCTGGGCGACTGCAATGTAAAACGAGATAGTTAGAGGATTCACTTTCCCTGCTATTTTACGCTGGATGACGTAGACTACAGCTAGGGTGAATGATGAAAGAAGAGGTACTAAGGTGTAGTACCAGGGGAATTCCTGGGACTCTGTGTTGAAGATAAAGGAAGGTTTAGCAATGAGTACAACTCCAGTAAGTCCTGTAAATAGAGCGAATATTGTAACTGGAGTTATCCTCTCTTTGAGAAAGATCCGAGCTATCAGGCAGGTGAAGAGGGGAGAGGTAAATACCAAAGCACTGGCATCACCTAACGGCAAGAACTGGAAACTCCAGACCTTGCATAAGTAAGCGACGGAACCAAAAGCCACCCTGACTGCAACCCATTTTTTCATGGGAAAATCAGTTATAGACACGCCCATGTAGGTGACTATAGTACAGAAGAAACAGAACATGTAGATAGCAACAGGCAGGAGTATCATTCCGGTTGGAAGAGCGTTGACGTATTTCACGATGGACCCTTGAGTTGTAGCTGTTACACTCGTCAATACCATCAGAGAAAATCCTACAATCCGAGTCTTTATTGGTTTTTTCTCTGTCACTTCTGTGGGAGGGATTTCTGCTGGCTTCCCGCCCAATTCTTCTTGACAGATTGTGTCAGCAATGGGGTTAGATATAATTGTTCCTGTATTCTCTGTGGTGATGTTTGCATTGTTGCGAATATTTCGTCCGTTCTCCATCGTCCTTTATAATAAATTTTCCTATACATTATAAAAACATACCTTATTTTGATTCCAAATTCGATTAAATATCAGGTAATAAGACATATTTTAAAACATTATTTAAACAGTAAGCTTGCAGTCCTACACTATTTTCAAACACAAGGATTCATTGTTATTGATGTTTAGCAGAAATATTGGACTTAAAAATGGTAGAGCGGACAAGATGTGCGGACGGAACGGATGAAGAAGGCAAACTTCCAGTTCAGGAGTTAACCATACTAACGACTAAAGATAAAGCGGCACATGTATCCTCATCGATGGCCGAGTAATAATAAACCTGTAAACATTTTGGTTCGCGTTATCTCCCTAATTCTTAAAGAATGAGTAATTATAAAAAGTGATCCAATTTTCAGCACAGATCCCTTCACGCTAAATTATCATTCAGTGCATATTGTGTTTCATTTGTAAACATCATTTAATTTTAAACTAGGATTTAATACTGTTCCACCATGGACTGAAGTGAAAGTGACGAGAAATATGACTGTGCAACATAGAAAACATTAGAAAAAGCTTACCTGGGGACCACAGGCTATAATGTTCATAAACGAATAGAGATTCGGCAATCGGCAGAATGGCAGACTGAGCGCCGCCCAGTAAGAAAAAGCAAACACCTTCATATCATTATCCCTAACCTTCATATCCCTAAAACAAGAACTACGAAGAGCACGACCACTTATTGTTCGCTTCTACTAAATCGCTCGCCCAAATTTTAAGAAAATTCTTGTGAAAAGGCCCTTTGGGTATGAAAGTGATCTGAATCAGTGTATTTTTGATGCTGATTCCGAATCACCCCCCATGACGTAGGGTTAAAATGCTTCCCTGGAGAGTTATTGGCAAAAAACCGTTTTGGTCACGTGACAGGCTAGTAAAATACGAATTCGATTGTTTAGGGCTCGGGTTAGGGTTAGGGTTGTGGTAAGGGTTAGGGTTAGCTTCGGGGTTATGGTTAGGGTTAGGGTTGGGATAAGGGTTTATGTAAAACCGTTTTGTACGGCTGCAAAACCATAAAAACCAAAGTCACGTGAAATTTTTGGGCGAGCGAATTAGTAAGAGCCTACTAAATTACTTACTTCATACTTAATTTTGGCTAATTTTAAATTGGGTAAATTGGATTATAATATTATATATGTATGTATTTTTTTCAAGCAAAAAAGCTGAAAACCACTGTAGGGTTAACTATAATGAATAATGATTGATGATACTAGACCAGTTTCGCTGGTGAGTCTTAACTTACTGAGGTTTAATTTTATTGCATTATCGCATGAAAGAACAAGTATAATTCTTATAGATTTTCAGACTCCTTAAATGATTATCTCCATAACCAGTCTAAGCACAGAGATTACATTGAGTGTATTTGTTAATTCATAATCGTGACCACTCACGATCACAAGCTAGTGACAACACTTCGATCGGGAGGCCGACTTCCAGGCCCCCTCATTACTAGGGGGCTCATGGATATCAGATCATGTCACTAATTAGTGACGTAAATTAGTGATGTGATCCATCAGTAGGATTTGACTGACCTAGAAATGGGCTGGTGAGTGACGGCTGCCCATCAATTTTGAAATCTTGGCCCAACTGGGATTCAAACTCGCAACGTCAGGGCCAGTAGACAAGCAGATTAACCAACTAAGCCACTTAGCCAGCGTTCAATTAATGTACGTTCAAATAAGGTCCGATAAGGTAAGTGAAAAAATTACAATTATCAGTTTAGAAATATTTTGTAGGTTTACAACCTAACAGGACACGCGCCGAAGGCGAGCTGGACTCGTCCCGACGGTCCTGGAATATATGGAACAAATATTTTACGAGTATCACCCATTAAGAAATATATATATCAGGCAGTATTCATAATGGATATATCAGAGAGACGGAGGATTGAAGTTTCCTAAATAATGGCATTTCTAGCATGAATGTTAAAATTAACAAGTGGGCCATGGCCAATGGCAGTGTTTTCAATTACGTCCTCTCTCGGCAGTTTAATTGTTTAAAAAACTTAATTCAGACAGAGGATTGAAGTTTCCTAAATAAACAATGAAGGTTAGAATTAACAAGTAGGCCGTGAAATTTTTGGGCGAGCGAATTAGTAAGAGCCTACTAAATTACTTACTTCATACTTAATTTTGGCTAATTTTAAATTGGGTAAATTGGATTATAATATTATATATGTATGTATTTTTTTCAAGCAAAAAAGCTGAAAACCACTGTAGGGTTAACTATAATGATTGATGATACTAGACCAGTTTCGCTGGTGAGTCTTAACTTACTGAGGTTTATTGCATTATCGCATGAAAGAACAAGTATAATTCTTATAGATTTTCAGACTCCTTAAATGATTATCTCCATAACCAGTCTAAGCACAGAGATTACATTGAGTGTATTTGTTAATTCATAATCGTGACCACTCACGATCACAAGCTAGTGACAACACTTCGATCGGGAGGCCGACTTCCAGGCCCCCTCATTACTAGGGGGCTCATGGAGATCAGATCATGTCACTAATTAGTGACGTATAATTAGTGATGTGATCCATCAGTAGGATTTAACTGACCTAGAAATGGGCTGGTGAGTGACGGCTGCCCATCAATTTTGAAATCTTGGCCCAACTGGGATTCAAACTCGCAACGTCAGGGCCAGTAGACAAGCAGATTAACCAACTAAGCCACTTAGCCAGCGTTCAATTAATGTACGTTCAAATAAGGTCCGATAAGGTAATTGGTTGACGATGTCAATCCTTCGCATCTCGCCGATCTGCTTAAGTGGTTGCGAGAAGCATTATCTGATGCGCGCGCGACCCAGTAGTGCATCGCGCTACAAATAAGGTAAGTGAAAAAATTACAATTATCAGTTTAGAAATATTTTGTAGGTTTACAACCTAACAGGACGCGCGCCGAAGGCGAGCTGGACTCGTCCCGACGGTCCTGGAATATATGGAACAAATATTTTACGAGTATCACCCATTGAGAAATATATATATCAGGCAGTATTCATAATGGATATATCAGAGAGACGGAGGATTGAAGTTTCCTAGCTAAATAATGGCATTTCTAGCATGAATGTTAAAATTAACAAGTGGGCCATGACAGTGCTTTCAATTACGTCCTCTCTCGGCAGTTTAATTGTTTAAAAACTTGCTTCAGACAGAGGATTGAAGTTTCCTAAATAAACAATGAAGGTTAGAATTAACAAGTAGGCCGTGAGAGTGCTTTCAATTCCGTCCTCTCTGGGCAGTTAAATTGTTAAAAAACTTGCTTCAGAACAGCTTTTATAGAGGTGTTAGGTCCCTTTCGGAGCCAATCCATTGCTGTGCGGAACATTTTTCCAGTCAGTTCCAGCAGAGTTAGCGACGAAGTCTTCATCCCAGGAATGACAGAGAAGTCAGATCTGTCCACTCACGATCACAAGTCACAACACTTTCGATCTCGCATTGCACGTCACGAATATGATCATTAGTAATTCTTCACAGCACGTGTTGTCACAGGTAGTTCAGTGATGAAGGGCACTGGCACTTTCATTAAAGGAGTATGATACTCTCAGAGGCAACAGTCTCATGTGAGGCGACATAGTTTCCAAGTGACAGGTGTTAGGTCCCTTTCGGAGCCAATCCATTGCTGTGCGGAACATTTTTCCAGTCAGTTCCAGCAGAGTTAGCGACGAAGTCTTCATCCCAGGAATGACAGAGAAGTCAGATCTGTCCACTCACGATCACAAGTCACAACACTTTCGATCTCGCATTGCACGTCACGAATATGATCATTAGTAATTCTTCACAGCACGTGTTGTCACAGGTAGTTCAGTGATGAAGGGCACTGGCACTTTCATTAAAGGAGTATGATACTCTCAGAGGCAACAGTCTCATGTGAGGCGACATAGTTTCCAAGTGACAGATCGTTGTTATTGGTTATTTCAGCTTGCACTGGAACTGAAAATTCAACAATTTTGCTTGTATTTAAATTTTGAATGGTCTACGGGTATGATCATTTCAACTACGCTGTGGTTTGGCTTAGAACTATGATAATGATGAACTTTTAATTCTTTATTGACCAATCTATACTTAATCATAAAAGTCACACATCCTGTGGCACACCCAGTACATTGGTTTATGTTGAACACATCGTAACAACTTCTTTCGTCTGATTAGTTGGATTATATTTCTTAACAGATCTAACATCTCTGACATTCCTGGGATGAAGACTTCGTCTTTAACTCTGCTGGAACTGCAGCCGGACAAATGTTCTACAGCAATGGATTGGTTCAGGAAGGGACCTTGATGTTGGCTTAAACTCCCAAGCAGACATCGTTTCGTGATTAACAAAATACCGCGTTAACTGCCTTTGACTCATCGGCATCAGTTCGACTATCTAAACTTCACTAACGTTTCACTTTCACTCTATTTACTGCGATGAGGAATTTCATCCTGATTGTAACTTTCTCTGTTCTTTTCATTTTGATAAATGCTGGGTCAAAATGCGAGGGCAAGAAATTCGACAAGACCGTCAAGAAGTATAAAAAGTGCCGTGCTGAAGGATATAATTCTAAAATAGTTGGCTGTACGGCGACGACCGAAGATAACCTGAACACAAAGAAGGCAAAGAAGTGTGCAAAAGCTGAGACATCTTTAAAAAAATGTGGCTACACATGTACTGACCCTGTCAATGGTGGATGGACTGACTTCGGAGATTGGTCTGAGTGCTCTGCTAAATGTGGTGGAGGATCTCAAAGTAGGTCAAGAAGCTGCACTAACCCTGCCCCTCGACATGGTGGAGCAGGATGTCAAGGTCACGGTTCACAGAACCAGAATTGTAACACACAAGCTTGCCCGATTAATGGAGGATGGACTGACTTCGGAGATTGGTCTGAGTGCCCTGCTAAATGTGGTGGAGGATCTCAAAGTAGGTCAAGAAGCTGCACTAACCCTGCCCCTCGACATGGTGGAGCAGGATGTCAAGGTCACGGTTCACAGAACCAGAATTGTAACACACAAGCTTGTCCGATTAATGGAGGATGGACTGACTTCGGAGATTGGTCTGAGTGCTCTGCTAAATGTGGTCGAGGATCTCAAAGTAGGTCAAGAAGCTGCACTAACCCTGCCCCTCAACATGGTGGAGCAGAATGTCAAGGTCAGGGCTCACAGAACCAGAATTGTAACACACAAGCTTGCCCGATTAATGGAGGATGGAGTGGCTTTGGGGGTTGGGCTGGGTGTTCTGCTAAATGTGGTGGAGGATCTCAGGTTAGGTCAAGAAGCTGCACTAACCCTGCCCCTCAACATGGTGGAGCAGGATGTCAAGGAAATGGCTCACAGATCCAGAATTGTAACACACAAGCTTGCCCTATTAATGGAGGATGGAGTGGCTTCGGGGGTTGGTCTGGGTGCTCTGCAAAATGTGGTGGCGGATCTCAAAGTAGGTCAAGAAGCTGCACTAACCCTGCCCCTCGAAATGGTGGAGCAGGATGTCAAGGACCTGGCTCACAGAACCAGAGTTGTAACACACAACATTGCGCAATACATTTCATTATGAATAGATTTGGCATGAAAGAACAAGTATAATTCTTATAGATCTTCAGACTCCTTAAATGATTATCTTCATAACCAGTCTAAGCACAGAGTTTACATTGAGTGTAATTGTTAATCCATAATCGTGACCACCTGGGTTAGTGTACTTTTGTTGTTCATTTTATGAGAGTGATTTTTCTTACTGTTCACTACAACAGTAAGAATTTCCATCTGTAGATGAAGTTTGTAAATAGCGGAAAATACTGTAATGCACTTTTAATTAAGTACAATTAGTGTACATATCTCACTATTTTACATTGAATAAGTTGTACAGTAATTATAAAAATTGTCTTATTTCTTTTTTTGAGCTCTTAAAAAGTGGAAAAAGCAAAAGCTGAAAATATTAAATTAGACCAGAATTATGTATATATATATGTATTTTTTTCAAGCAAAAAAGCTGAAAACCACTGTAGGGTTAACTAATGTTTGATGATACTAGACCAGTTTCGCTGGTAAGTCTTAAATTGGGTAGGTTGGACCGTGACAAAATCTAATTTGCTGAGGTTTATCGCATTAACCATGAAAGAACAAGTATAATTCTTAAAGATTTTCAGACTCCTTAAATGATTATCTTCATAACCAGTCTAAGCACAGAGATTACATTGAGTGTAATTGTTAATCCATAATCGTGACCACTCACGATCAAAAGTCACAACACTTTCGATTTCGCATTGCTCGTCACGGAAATTATCATTAGTAATTCTTCACAGCACGTGCTGTCACCGTGTTGTCGCGCGATATTTTGTTCATCACGAAACAATGTCTGTTTGGGAGTTTAAGCCAACATCAAGGTCCCTTCCTGAGCCAATCCATTGCTGTGGAACATTTGTCCGGCCAGTTCCAGCAGAGTTAGAGACGAAGTCTTCATCCCAGGAATGACAGAGAAGTCAGATCTGTCCACTCACGATCACAAGTCACAACACTTTCGATCTCGCATTGCACGTCGCGAATCTGATCATTAGCAATTCTTCACAGCACGTGTTGTCACAGGTAGTTCAGTGATGAAGGGCACTGGCAGTTTCATTAAAGGAGTATGATACTCTCAGAGGCAACAGTTTCACGTGGGGCGACATAGTTTCCAAGTGACAGATCGTTGTTATTTCAGCTTGCACTGGAACTGAAAATTCAACAATTTTGCTTGTATTTAAATTTTGAATAGTCTACGGGTTGTGGTGTGGCTTAGAACTATGATAATGATGAACTGTTAATTCTTTACTGACCAATCTATACTTACTCATAAAAGTCACACTTTCTGTGGCACACCCAGTACATTGGTTCATGTTGATTGTTGAACACATCGTAACAACTGCTTTCGTCCGATTAGTTGGATCATATTTCTTGACATCTCTGATATTCCTGGGATGAAGACTTCGTCTCTAACCCTGCTGGAACTGGCCGGACAAATGTTCCACAGCAATGGATTGGCTCAGGAAGGGACCTTGATGTTGGCTTAAACTCCCAAACAGACATTGTTTCGTGATTAACAATATATCGTGTTAACTGCTTTTGTCTCATCGGCATCAGTTCGACTATCTAAACTTCACTAACGTTTCACTTTCACTCTATTTACTGCGATGAGGAATTTCATCCTGATTGTAACTTTCTCTGTTCTTTTCATTTTGATAGATGCTGGGTCAAAATGCGAGGGCAAGAAATTCGACATGACCGTCAAGAAGTATAAAAAGTGCCGTGCTGAAGGATATAAATCTAAAATAGTTGGCTGTACGGCGACGACCGAAGATAACCTGAACACAAAGCAGGCAAAGATTTTTTTAAAATTTTAATATCGAAATCAAACTGTTACCTGACTGATGTCGATCTCCACTGTAAGAAAGCATAACACAAACACCAAACACGCTCTAATGTAACACCGGAGCCTTTCTTCTTCATCTGATCTGTGGTATAGGTAGTGAGACTCGATACAGCGAATGTAAATTGTAAGCTTACAAGAAAACAAAAACGCACAGTCGACTGAATTTGTTTAATTGATTTAGGTTGTACTCCATTCACAAAAAAGATCTAAATAAATATAGATTCTGGTGGGGAGGTGAGGCATATTTTTGACTCATTAACATTATTATTACACATTACCTTTTTTCTTTTCCGAAGTACCATCCTTGATCCCCATATATATCCCCGTATATAGTTGGCGTTATCCTGGTAGTGTCCAGTATCACCAGAGTTTGTAAGTACAAGAACACCAGGTAGGTTACCTGAAGTTAGGTAGAAGTGTAAGTCTCTTTTTAAATAAATAGGATAATACGGAGAATTTTAAATATGATTTTGTTTAATTTGTTAACATGATCTCTGCGTAGCTGTTTTCTAATATTATGGTTTCGTGTGGTAAGTGCAGTGGCGATTATTGCTTCTCTGCAACTCATGTCAAATTCAATACATTATGATTCAGAATAAGTGCCAAAAAATAAAAATGTAGCAAATATATCCTAACCATGAGGAGGTAACACTTGCTGCGGGGAGACGCCCAGAATGAGGTTATTTTCTCAAGAAATGTCCGCTTAGTCCCCTTTTCATTTAGAAATAAAGTAGTCTCATCTCTTTTGCTCTGTTTGGGTACCTGTCAGAGAGAATTGTTTTCAAAACCCACAGGCAAACCAACTTAACAATCGTAACAACCAAAATTAGATAATGTTTCATACTTGATGCAAATTTTGTGATTTGTAAAATCAGTGAGGAAATGTTCAAAGCGCTTGTTTCAGTATTTCATCAGTATCTCGCTGTCACTTTTGTGGTATTGCTAGCACAGCAGTTACAGTGGGATACTAATACAATATATATACTAATACAGGGTGGGCCAAAAGTCAGTAACCATACGGCATACGTTGGTTACTGACCGTGTTTTATATTTGAGAGCTGTTGCTTTGCAGATGGCATACTGTACTTACTGGTTCGAGGATTCCGTCGTCGAAATTGGAAAATTCGAATATTTTAGACCACGCCTATTCAATATTAAAACACCTATATTGTTTTCTCTGAACATGCTGAACGCCTAATTTTTTCAGAGACAGTAGATTATCAAATGTTGCATATGATCTGAAAACATGAAGCAAAACGGATTAGAAATGACGAAGTTATCAAGCATTTTCTGTATCTCGTTAACAAAATTGACTGGGTGATTATGTGACACCGTGACACGACACCATAATTGGGCACCCTTAACAATTCCCATAATGTTTAACGGGGTAGTTAAAGGGGTCACCTTATCACGTGATTAGGTAAACCAATCACCTGATCACACGTAATGAATAAACTCGTTATGCTTCATATCTCGGTCATCTGAGAAGCTACAGTTCTAATTCTTTCAGGACAAACGTAATTCGAATGGCCAAACACAATTCAATAACATTTAGCTTGATCAGACCATCCAAACTATCAAATAAATGTGAAAATGAACCTCCATTTGAAAAAAATAAACGCGAATATTTTTCGAGTTGACAAATTCCTCGAACCAGTGGTGGTACTAAGTCATACCAGAAAGAAGTATTTAAATTGGGCACTTAGTGACTGAGCTATCAAAGTATAAAGGCCAACGTACGGGTACTGACTTTTGGCCCACCCTGTATATAAATAATATTTCGCAAGTTCACCTTATGACGTCACACACGAAAACAATCGTCAGAGAAAAGTTAGGTACTCACAAATTTGATTAGGAGGGGAGCTAGCAGTCCACATGTTACCCACGATAAAACTATCTGGGAGTTGGAATTTTAGTTACTTTTATTGATGATACAATTTGACCGTTTCAATCCTTCCGCCAGTCATGGTTTTGAAACCACTGGCAGTCTATAAGTAACTACTATTAGTAACTATTAGTAACTATTAGTAAATATTAGTAACTATAAGTAACTACTTTTAGCACCAAGGATCAATAACTTTGAAAAACACATATTAATTAGGGCACAAAGGTGTCTTATTGATAAAGTAGGTATTGGAAATGGAATATAATAGCGTTGCTATTAAATCGTTAGATCAAACCCTTACATTGATCCAACATGTAGTGGGGTCAAGAGCTCCGTTAAACCGGGTTGTTATGTAGGAGTGGATGTGGGTTTTGTCCTCCAGAATACTATGACATCCTGTCTCTCCTGCCATATCTATTATCGTCTGGAGAAAATTGAATATTAGGACGTTTATTGTTCAAGGAGCAAATAAATGAAGAGCATCCTTTATGCGACTTCATATCCATAATTTTGATTGCAAGTTTCTGTGATCTATTGTAAAATTTTTAATTTCTGTTGTTTCCTGTAGGTAATACTAATAGTTCCATTGTTTCATGCCTTACCTTGTCGTTATATTGATGATGTTCCCAGAAGACGACTGGTCCGATATCAAGACTTTGTTTATAGCTATTCTCAATCATTTTTCCTGCTTGCTTGTCCATTTTCCTGAGACAAGAGTAAAGCTTGTTGTTCGGTCATTATGATGAAAGTGACATCGGAAAATCAGTTTATGTTGCTCAACTTCTAATGCTTACTGATAGAAATTTGGTGAAATTGGAAAAATAGTGTTATTATGATTATCTGATCAAATAGTCGAAGAGTAGCAAGATAATCAATTAGCAATATAATTAATTATCTTACTCTATCTGATCATCCAGCATCTCAACATAGTCTGAAGAACCTGTGTTACTCTGAATCTTCTTTATCTGCTGCATGGCTTTGATGGCCACAAAACATTTGAATATTGAGAAATCGGAATGTTTCCTCATTATCTCTGCCATCTCCCAATCCTCGTTGAAGCAGTAGAAAATATACATGACGTCATCCAGCTCTAGTTTGCCTTGGGCTTGGTTGGGATTATCAAGATCGATCGGGTTAATGATTGAGCGACCGTCTTTCCCTATCAACTTGTAGATACAATTGTAGAATTCGGCTGTACGTTTCTTAAAGTCCTCTCCCTAAAAAGGGTCGAATGAGTTGTAGGAAAAATTACTTTGGTCATAAGGGAAATAGTATTGACCTAATGCTTAAGATTCATTTTTGGGAACTTTATATCAATGAAGTTATACCTGGTATTTCACCACGGCAGTTTTAATCTCTTTTGTGATAGTTTTATCAGCCTTTTGTAGCATCATCCCTACTATTCCAGCTCCACAGTTGTACAAACAGGACTTTATGTCGTAGTTGCTCTTTATACAAAGATCTGGTAATGGATTAGTTACTTATTTCAACTCAAACAGAAGATTAGAAGGTGTTACCTTATTTGCCTTTTTGCGATGTATTCATAACCTTGCTACTTGCTAGATAGTTGCCATCAGAATAAAATGAGAAAGTCATCACGCGAGAATATCAAAATTTGATACACGAACCTAGCAAATCAGGTCTATCGTATAAATGTATCATAGACACAAGATCATCTTTCTGCCCATCCCCGAGTTCCTCATCAGTTATGATGCTCTTACACGTCTCTTCTAACCCCAGTACCATGCTCAAGTATAGTTGAGTACAGTGCTCTCTGTGATTGAAATGGTGATTGAAAGGTTAATTAAACTCAGGGTTAGAATTAAGAAACAGTAAATACCGATTGAAGGATATGCATCGTAATATTTAAGTATATATACTTCATCTTACTTGAATTCGTTCTGTCCACTGTGTTCTGTACTTTTCACAAGGACATCTTTAAGTCCCGTGGGAAGGTCAATAAATGTATGTTCCGGTTGTTCTACATCGTTGTTATCTTCGTTGTTTATCCAGACACGAATCTTGTATTTGTACATCGTGAAAATCGTGATTACAGTCAAATTCTGACATGGCAATTTAAATTTATTATCTGTTTAATCTTTTATATTGAGGTAAAAATTGAAAATTACGTGTGGAAATTGTGGCCGTTATAACTGATTTCTAAGTAAAATATTTCTCACCCAAATATCGTTATCTGAAACACCATCCAATCTGTCTCCTAATTTCAATTTAAAGTCACTAATGGAGATAGCGCTGCTGTACAGGACAATAGTTGGGATGCCACTCTTGAGAAGCTCTGTGACCATGTCTTTTTCTTCGTCACTAAGTTCTTCTTCAGGGGAGTCACTAGTGGGAACGAAGAAGTTGATAGGGGAGCAGACGTTGACTCTGAACTTGCAACTATCCCTATGTTCATCTGGAATTTGAGGTGTTACTGTAGCTGGAACAACTATGTGAATGTTTTTTTGTTGTTGTGAAGATTGTGCTTAGGGATGAGGGGAAGTGGCAAGGTTGAAGGTTTACTAGTGGTTTTGAGGGGAAGTGGCAAGGTTGAAGGTTTACTAGTGGTTTTGAGGGGAAGTGGCAAGGTTGAAGGTTTACTAGTGGTTTTGAGGGGAAGTGGCAAGGTTGAAGGTTTACTAGTGGTTTTGAGGGGAAGTGGCAAGGTTGAAGGTATACTAGTGGTTTTGAGGGGAAGTGGCAAGGTTGAAGGTTTACTAGTGGTTTTGAGGGGAAGTGGCAAGGTTGAAGGTTTACTAGTGGTTTTGAGGGGAAGTGGCAAGGTTGAGGGTTTACTAGTGGTTTTGAGGGGAAGTGGCAAGGTTGAAGGTTTACTAGTGGTTTTGAGGGGAAGTGGCAAGGTTGAAGGTTTACTAGTGGTTTTGAGGGGAAGTGGCAAGGTTGAAGGTTTACTAGTGGTCTTGAGGGGAAGTGGCAAGGTTGAAGGTTTACTAGTGGTTTTGAGGGGAAGTAGCAAGGTTGAAGGTTTACTAGTGGTTTTGAGGGGAAGTGGCAAGGTTGAAGGTTTTCTAGTGGTTTTTAGGGGAAGTGGCAAGGTTGAAGGTTTACTAGTGGTTTTGAGGGGAAGTGGCAAGGTTGAAGGTTTACTAGTGGTTTTGAGGGGAAGTGGCAAGGTTGAAGGTTTACTAGTGGTTTTGAGGGGAAGTGGCAAGGTTGAAGGTTTACTAGTGGTTTTGAGGGGAAGTGGCAAGGTTGAAGGTTTACTAGTGGTTTTGAGGGGAAGTGGCAAGGTTGAAGGTTTACTAGTGGTTTTGAGGGGAAGTGGCAAGGTTGAAGGTTTTCTAGTGGTTTTTAGGGGAAGTGGCAAGGTTGAAGGTTTACTAGTGGTTTTGAGGGGAAGTGGCAAGGTTGAAGGTTTACTAGTGGTTTTGAGGGGAAGTGGCAAGGTTGAAGGTTTACTAGTGGTTTTGAGGGGAAGTGGCAAGGTTGAAGGTTTACTAGTGGTTTTGAGGGGAAGTGGCGAGGTTGAAGGTTTACTAGTGGTTTTGAGGGGAAGTGGCAAGGTTGAAGGTTTACTAATGGTTTTGAGGGGAAGTGGCAAGGTTGAAGGTTTACTAATGGTTTTGAGGGGAAGTGGCAAGGTTGAAGGTTTACTAGTGGTTTTGAGGGGAAGTGGCGAGGTTGAAGGTTTACTAGTGGTTTTGAGGGGAAGTGGCAAGGTTGAAGGTTTACTAATGGTTTTGAGGGGAAGTGGCAAGGTTGAAGATTTACTAGTGGTTTTGAGGGGAAGTGGCAAGGTTGAAGGTTTACTAGTGGTTTTGAGGGGAAGTGGCAAGGTTGAAGGTTTACTAGTGGTTTTGAGGGGAAGTGGCAAGGTTGAAGGTTTACTAGTGGTTTTGAGGGAAGGTGGCAAGGTTGAAGGTTTACTAGTGGTTTTGAGGGGAAGTGGCAAGGTTGAAGGTAGTGGTTTTGAGGGGAAGTGGCAAGGTTGAAGGTTTACTAGTGGTTTTGAGGGGAAGTGGCAAGGTTGAAGGTTTACTAGTGGTTTTGAGGGGAAGTGGCAAGGTTGAAGGTTTACTAGTGGTTTTGAGGGGAAGTGGCAAGGTTGAAGGTTTACTAGTGGTTTTGAGGGGAAGTGGCAAGGTTGAAGGTTTACTAGTGGTTTTGAGGGGAAGTGGCAAGGTTGAAGGTTTACTAGTGGTTTTGAGGGGAAGTGGCAAGGTTGAAGGTTTACTAGTGGTTTTGAGGGGAAGTGGCAAGGTTGAAGGTTTACTAGTGGTTTTGAGGGGAAGTGGCAAGGTTGAAGGTTTACTAGTGGTTTTGAGGGGAAGTGGCAAGGTTGAAGGTTTACTAGTGGTTTTGAGGGGAAGTGGCAAGGTTGAAGGTATACTAGTGGTTTTGAGGGGAAGTGGCAAGGTTGAAGGTTTACTAGTGGTTTTGAGGGGAAGTGGCAAGGTTGAAGGTTTACTAGTGGTTTTGAGGGGAAGTGGCAAGGTTGAAGGTTTACTAGTGGTTTTGAGGGGAAGTGGCAAGGTTGAAGGTTTACTAGTGGTTTTGAGGGGAAGTGGCAAGGTTGAAGGTATACTAGTGGTTTTGAGGGGAAGTGGCAAGGTTGAAGGTTTACTAGTGGTTTTGAGGGGAAGTGGCAAGGTTGAAGGTTTACTAGTGGTTTTGAGGGGAAGTGGCAAGGTTGAAGGTTTACTAGTGGTTTTGAGGGGAAGTGGCAAGGTTGAAGGTTTACTAGTGGTTTTGAGGGGAAGTGGCAAGGTTGAAGGTATACTAGTGGTTTTGAGGGGAAGTGGCAAGGTTGAAGGTATACTAGTGGTTTTGAGGGGAAGTGGCAAGGTTGAAGGTTTACTAGTGGTTTTGAGGGGAAGTGGCAAGGTTGAAGGTTTACTAGTGGTTTTGAGGGGAAGTGGCAAGGTTGAAGGTTTACTAGTGGTTTTGAGGGGAAGTGGCAAGGTTGAAGGTTTACTAGTGGTTTTGAGGGGAAGTGGCAAGGTTGAAGGTTTACTAGTGGTTTTGAGGGGAAGTGGCAAGGTTGAAGGTTTACTAGTGGTTTTGAGGGGAAGTGGCAAGGTTGAAGGTTTACTAGTGGTTTTGAGGGGAAGTGGCAAGGTTGAAGGTTTACTAGTGGTTTTGAGGGGAAGTGGCAAGGTTGAAGGTTTACTAGTGGTTTTGAGGGGAAGTGGCAAGGTTGAAGGTTTACTAGTGGTTTTGAGGGGAAGTGGCAAGGTTGAAGGTTTACTAGTGGTTTTGAGGGGAAGTGGCAAGGTTGAAGGTTTACTAGTGGTTTTGAGGGGAAGTGGCAAGGTTGAAGGTTTACTAGTGGTTTTGAGGGGAAGTGGCAAGGTTGAAGGTTTACTAGTGGTTTTGAGGGGAAGTGGCAAGGTTGAAGGTTTACTAGTGGTTTGAAATATTATGTTGCACTAAATGTTATAAAGAGCTAAGTAAACAAAAGGTAAACTAGGTGCTGCAAAATGGAGTTCAAAATTAACAGCTAGCACGAGATGTCTTACCGTCGTCAAAAGTTTTGGCAAGTTCCTTGACCAGTACCAGGTGATCTCTAACTTCATTACTACTGGAGTACTCAGGGAACAAGAAACAGGATGACATTCGGGCCAACATCTTCTGATCATGATCGTTTTCCACTACCCTAACCTCAGGGGTGTTGATTCTACTACCCTGTCAACGATGGGTTATTAATACCAAAATATAGAAAAATATATAGAATACAAAATGTAGATACCTGGATACAATGTCTACCGATAATACAAAGCAAAGCGATAAATCCTTGTCCCAATATGAGGGATCACCCCTTACTCATTTTAAAGATTTTCAAACATCCTTTATAGAGAGAACATGGGGTATTTCAACGCTCAAATTCACACAAAACTTACTAGTGTTGCCGGATCAGGACCAGTGAGTTTTTTTCTATCCTCCTCCTTTATATCTGACCAAGTTTTCCAGTACACCATGTTCCTGTGAGAGGTGGCTGATTTCTGTGACTCCTCCCGGCTGTAGTGTGCTATCCTAGGGTCTGTCTGAAATAAACCCACGGTTGGATGACTTGATCAATAAAATCTTTTTGCACTCTTGAGTAATATAGATTTCAATCATCGTATCTTATAACTGCTATTGTTTGACTGCTAAAGTTTGTTCAATAAGCTCTATCATTTATCGATTAAAATTTTACTGTTGACCATCTGTTGCACAAGAAGCAAGATAACAATCTAATACATAAAATCGCCAGCTAGCACTTGGTGTCGATTTTATACTGACTTTTTGTCTTCATAAACGTTAAAGAGGAGCAAAATGCACGTAGTTTATAACTTTGACTTACGAGTCGATACGTTATGGTAAACAATTTTTTTAAACGTTTTTTCATTTTTAATTAATGAAACTTCCTCACTGGAAAGTTTCTCATTATGTATAGTCTATTATTGAAAACTGAATAAACTAATTATGTGAATAATGGAGTGAAGTTTTGGTTAAAAACCTGACTGTGTGCCATAAACCAAGAGTTAGTTTTTCTCCCCAGTCTGACTATTTTTCTCAACTTCTCTCTCGTTTCAGGAGACTGATCTTCTCTTTCATCCTCGTCAGCTTAATTTTGGAATTAGATATCAATAACTTAAACAGACGTGGCTATAAGTGGATTAGACCGAAATATAGTCTTTATAATCAGAAACCCAACTACATAGTATGTTTTCAAAGCAACCAGGTAATTCACAATTGAAATTAACGTCTCTATAAGAGGCTTCTCACTAGCTGTGAAGACGTTGATAAGGAACTTGGCTTGGTCCATTTTCCATTTCTCACACAAGAGGTTTTGTAGATGCTGTAGAACTCCTTCGTGAGGAGCGAACTTTAGAAACTTTGGTCTGGGCAAATCAGAGTATAAGGGTGTCATTGATTATTATTTACAAGGTTTAATACCACTCCAAATAACAAATTGAATTATGGAAACCAATACCATAATCGATGTCTTACTCTTACATCGTCACTGATTCATATCAATATGCTTCTTTATATCGTTTGTTTTATATACCTGATATAGCAATTTTCATCGACCCATTTTGAATTTAAACACCCGTAAGTCTGAGCAGGTTTCATGTTCTGTTCTGGGGAATAAGGGGATTTATTCAGCTGCTCTAGTAAGGGCATCTCTTCTGTACTCATTGGGTCTCTATCGCTATGCAGTTCACAAATGTTGTTTGTAATGAAGTTACCCTAAAGGGAATTGGATGTTATCGATATTTTCTACCCAAATTGTACATCAGTAATTTACAAAGTCAGAGATTGTATCGTTTAAACTATTTAGAAGCTGCCATCTTTTGAGTACGGGAAGCATGTAGCTCCTTTTAATTTTACTACATTATCAGACCTTATTTTAAACATACATCATACATGGTAGCCGGACTTCAATTTGGGCGTCATTTCCGATAAGTTATTCATACTTTATTGGGAATGTGCAGGTTTAAAGGTCAAATAAATCTCTCAATCCCCTTTCTGTGACCAGCTGTTAACTGTTGCTCATGCACTGTCTATGATATTAATATAGTACTCACGGATTTTGCTCCACTGTTGACATTGACTCTCACGTAATCTGCACTCGCGCCGACTTCAGCATCTCCATTTTTACCCACCATTTCGTAGCTCATTATGGTGGTTCTGTGTGATCAAACTTTATAAATATAAATATAATGTATATGTCACTTAGATCAAGTTTTTAACCAAAAATTCCCGATTTCGGAAATTAATACCTGCCTGGTACTGACCCTGACCAATTTAAGTTATCAGTAAAGTAGTCGAGTTTAACTTATTAGCCGGAAGTGGTGTGGTCCGGTTCTGGACATGGTCTAACTTTTTAGGAACAATTTACTGAACCCAGATATGTTTTTCTAAAGGATAAGAATTTAAGAACTTTAAGTTCACTGTAGATGGGCCGTTACTGGATCGATCATTATATCGCAATGAAAGAATTTGAAACCATAGTGCATAATACGTGTTCATTTATACAATTACAGGGTGGGCCAAACGTCAGTACCCATACGTTGGCCTTTATAGCTCAGTCACTGAGTGCCCAATTGAAATAATTCAGAGAGAACAATATAGGTGTTTTAATATTGAATGGGCGCGGTCAAAAATATTCGAATTTTCTAATTTTGGCGACGGAATCCTCGAACAAGTAGGTGCAGTATGCCATCTGCAAAGCATTAACAACTCTCAAACATAAAACACACGGCGGAGGTATAAGACCGAACGTATGGGTACTGACTTTTGGCCCACCCTGTATTTAATTCGGACCTGAAATTGTATTCCAGCACACGAGATTGAGGGAAACATATCAAAATATTATGCGAATTGCGAAGATTTATAGATATCTAGAAACAACTCGTATCAATAGAATCATTTTCTGAGACGAGAAAACCTGATTTTAAGTTTCAAAACTGTAGAAAGTGAACATTTCTATTCGTAAAAAGTTGTATCTAAATACGACTGACAAGCATAATCATGTTAATAAAAGCTTCACAGCTATACTACCGTGATTATTTTATCAGTACAAGTTTTTAATTATTTTCACACCATTATATACTGTTGTTCGACTGTTATGATTCAACCGCTCATTGAAAGACTCTATGAAATTGTAAAATTTCGTAAGACTAAGAAAGTAAGAGGGCCTTACAATTTACATAGGATTAGGGCAATGTTACGGGTCAACAACGTTATACAGAAAATTAATTTTGATTTCTTTCGTCACTTTGATTTTGAAAGGATAGCAAGCAGATAGAACGGTAAAATGTTTCAACAACATCAAATACATGATGATAAACAAAACATTTGCATCTCATCCACATAATATGTGTTGTAGACTATACTACTAGTTCTTCTTCCTATGTTTTTATTGGCATTTTGTTCTTTACCTCATTAGACACGGTTAGCAAGCTGTTTCCACCTCACTTTCCTTAATTAGGCTTAATTGTCACTTATTTTGTTTACTCTACAGATTGACATGTTTAGTTGTACCCTTTTTGGGATGATATTAGTTTAAGATCTTATCACGTGACCAGCTGAGTGAAGGTATTTCACAAGTGATTTCGGAATATGAAATTCGGAGTTCAGAGTACCTTAGTCGGTAATACTATGGGGGGAAAATTATGGGTGCTAAAAATATGGACTGTTATAAATATGGTTCTTTGGCCCGAAAAGAACCAAATTCGACCCCCCACAATTTTAAATGCGACATTCCTTTCGTGAAAAAATCTCAAATAAAAAATATTGATCAAATATTTTTCGGAATTATAACCACATTGCCGCTTTCACGCCAAATTTAATAACTTTTCATTATATATCCGATTGAAATTGTTCTTAGTTAACCCCTCAAATTGAAAGGATTGAATAGTAGACAAATCGGACTTTTTGAACCAGAACTAGCTTCAATTCAGCAAACAATAACGTAAGCATACTTCTGGACGTGAATGAAAGAAACGTTAAGCATATTATGACTGATATACCAAAAGGAACACCAAAATTTGACTCGGGGGTTTAAATTATGGGGGGTAAAAATATGGGCTGTTATAAATATGGTTCTTTGGCCCGAAAAGGACCAAATTAGACCCCCCATAATATTACCGACTAAGGTATACATTGCCAAGGGACACTCAGGGTTGAACTTTCTGCCGAATCAGTCCAACTATTTATGAGGTTGACATTAAATTTTAGTTTAGAAGAGTGCTGATCATCAGGCGTAAAAATCGGACAATTTGGGGTTATGACTTTGGTATTGGTAGTTGTAGAATTTCATTAGCCATATAAGGACAAGCTAAACGAATATCAAATTGTGCTGAAACTGTATGAGAAACTGTTGAAAACGGTTAAAAGCGGCTAAAATCAAGTTTTAGTAATACTAATAGAGGTCATTAACAAAAGGTTTTGAGCATGGCAAATGTTTGATGCGATGTTCAATCAAATGAACTAGAATTCAAAACTGAAATTAGTTAAGTTCTATTGGATACTTTCAATTAGCAAGCGGGGGTAAATAATAAACTGCAACCCGCCTCTGCAATCTGCATTATATAGTATAGTAGTATAAGGTCAATTATGATATCAGACCCCAGCTAGATATCAGACCCCAGCTAGACGGCAGGTAACGCATCTCGTAGTCGATCACGTGACACGTTACACGCCGTCTAATTAGCTGGAAATTAATTTTGATTTCTTTCATCACTTTAAAAGGTAACATTTTTTCAGCAACATCAAATACAAACAAAACATTTACACTCACTTCATACAAAGAACTGTTAAATTCTCAAGGCCCAAATATGAATAGAATGGTTTAGTTACGTAACCCAACGATCGATGTCATAAAATTCTCTGGCGAATGGGTCAGATGAAATTGTACACCCTAATATTAACGTGGCAAGTCGAGGATCCTCTTTAAACTAGGTGGGAATGAATCAAAACAACGAGATCTCAACAACAAAAAGCGTTCAATATGAATGTTTTGATAGCATTGTGATTTGAGAGAACCACATGTATTCAATTAATATGTACTTAAATTACAAGTGTTGCACACGAAATCGAGGAAAACATATCAAAATTACATGCACGAGTCACGACCGAGAAAAATGTCGTAAGCGGTAAGAACAAACTAATTTTATACAGAATTCCATGATTTTAAGTCCTGCAGCTCAGTATAAAGTGAATTTCTTGATTTTTAAACGGTTTAATAAATCAAAATGCAATTGACAAGCGGAAACAGGTCGACATAAGTTAGCTGGGTTACGCTGCTTGTGTAAAACTGGTTAGTACTACTACTAGACGAGTGTAGTATACTGTGTAATGTTGTGTGTGCCGGCCTTCTGTACACCCTGTCACTAAGCTGCATGATAGATACCAATTTACACCTCCTCCTTTACACGCTTTCCGCAGACTTCAAGAAATTAAGCTCAGTGAATATCTAATAAAATAATAATCAAGGTTGGAACAAGGTTAAGTTAGATCTGTAGGAACGATTTGGAGAACAAATATGATTATAAAGAGCTAATCTGACGACTTAAAGATCCAGAGCTAAGATCCATATTACTCCACATGGTTAGTAAAACTGGTTGCCCTCTTTCCATGCGTTACTTAATACTTTGGTACATGGCCTGCAAACTCAAGTAAAGAGACTGAGCTCATTATATAAAATAATTACTGTATTCATTGACTTTGAGCATTCGTTGTTATTTCATTTGTACTCCGGGCTGTCAAATAAAGTATAAAATAAAATGAACAGAGAACGATCGACTTTTTTAATGATTTACTGATATCCAGACACTTTTGTATTTTTTGAATTTCGATACATACCTATACTACTAGGTTTGCTTATAGTTTTCCGAAACGCCGGTGGCCCACGAGACGATAGCATGAAGATCGAAGAAGCTCAATCTACCTGTGATCTAGGGTGTGGCAGGCCTACATGAAGAAGATGCCGGCAATGACAAAATTCGGTGAGAAAGATCCAAAAGAGCAAAACAATGTGCATTACATTTTAAAGGTCACTCCGGCTTGATTTAATTTTTCAGACTTAATAAGTTTCTTGGTCATGGTGTGCATTAAACATTCTGATTATTTTTATTTTCTTCAACAGAGAGAGAGAGCTTTCACAAAGGTACATAGAACTTACGTCGATAAATTATGAAAGGTACATTCTATAAATACATTCTAACGATGTTCAGAAGTTGTATTTGAATATTCGCTTGCATTGAAGGTCAAAAATCAGCCCATAGCTAGACATCAGGACATCTATCTATTTTTAGATGGCATTGACATGAAATTAGCAGTACGATATTTGGGCAACTCAGTTCCAGTTAAGAAATCAACAATGCCTCCATTTTTTATACTAAATTTAACGAAAAGAACGAAAATGTACAGTCTGTTCAACGGGTTACAATCATAAAATTGAATCGCAAAAAAATAACTGGAATGAAAGTAATTAATGTTGCTGTCATCGGCTTTGGGCATATATAATCTGATACCGATATTGCCTTAGGCTTAGATCAGAGGGATGTATTACAAATAACTTAGCGTATTATAATTATATGACGACAAGCGAACTTTGCCTGAATACCTAACTGTTCTGAGGGAAAAATTGTGTGTTCTCGGCACGTTATCTGGGATTATAACCAACTGGTTAACGGGATAGAGGTGACAGGGTGTGAGCTGATTGCAGGAGACTGGCCAATTATTATAATAATATACTGGATAGCTCTTCTTAGAAGACATTCCAAATTGAAACAGTTAGCTAGCGGAATTACGGTGTGTAAATACAGGTTTGGCAGTGACAGTAATATATGGTATTGAAACAAGCGGTACATAAGCAAAGGGACAAAGCAGTGATAATATTATATTACTTCCTAGATTCGGATTTATTACTGATTGTTTACTTTTAGTTATACGATCAAACAAAATAGGAACAAGATGTATTATATCAATATGACCCTAAGCAATGTGAAGGAAATGTCAAAACTTCATGTCATGAATTGCCTGGGGACCCCAGGCTATAATGTTCATAAACATATAAACGAATAGAGATTATGCGGAACGACAGGCTGAGCGCCGCCCAGTAAGTCATGAAACATGCCTAATTATAATTCTATGAGATTCTGTGAGATTTGAGACCGGCTGTTAAAGGGCTATTAGCTGGCTGTAACACTAACAGCCCTCTAACGAGTTACTAATAGGGCTGCCGGACAACTGAACGGCTGAACCCAATTTTGACTTTTCCTAGGAAGGGTAGCTTGGGAAAATAATTATAAACCCAATGAGTCAACTAATTAACTTTGAAACGACAACTCATGAACCTGCAATCGTCACTAGAAATAACAGATAAACAGGTTTCAAGATCTCAATATATTCAAGATATAGTGAACCAACTTATCCGACCAGCAGAAGCTTACCTTAGACTTAGAGGGCTGTTAGAGGGCTGTTAGCTGTATTAGTATTATTTATTAGTGAGTGCACCCAAAATGGCTGTTTAGAGGGCTGTTAGCTGTATTAGTATTATTTATTAGTGAGTGCACCCAAAATGGCTGTTTAGAGGGCTGTTAGCTGTATTAGTATTATTTATTAGTGAACGTGCACCCAAAATGGCTGTTTAGAGGGCTGTTAGCTGTATTAGTATTATTTATTAGTGAGTGCACCCAAAATGGCTGTTAGAGGGCTGTTACTGTAACAAAATACCTGATAGCCGGCGCTTAATCGTGTTTTGTTATGGCTAACATTTGTATTGCTAATTTCTTCTGCTTGTCGGATAAGTTGGTTCACTATATCCTAAATATATTGAGATCTAGTTTAGGCACACATAACAATTCAAAACGACGCAAACTTGCAATTACATAGTAAGCAAGGCTCAGTGTTTCAATAATCCAATAATTTGCTGATAATCAAGCGTTTCCTGTGCTAAGTAATTGCTAAAACCATTTTACAATAGGTTGTAAATTGTACCAATTCCACAATTTGCCAGAAGCATTTAAATTATGAGGCTTCTAGCTTAGCTTCTTCAAAGTTGACTGCCTCACTCAATAGGTCACACCAACTTCATTTTGGCTGGAGACTGGACTGGGGATAGCACGTAAGCGCCCTTTAGATACACGTTGCATAATGCATATCCCTTTCGTGCACGCGAAGCCGGCTTGCCACGAAAAGGGGAATGCAACGTGCGTCAAGACCTCAGGCTTCGCAGTTATTGACTGTTGGCATTGCAAAACATGAGGTAAAGCGGGGAAAGATACCTGCAGCACCGGGTACCGGATAACTAACAGGTGACACTATCTGGTAAAGCTAACCTAGTAACCTCACTTTGCAGTCCTTACATCCACCCACCCGCATCTCCATCACAATATCTGAGTATGTCCTACTATACAAGCTAAGGTTTAAAGGTATCTGCGAGCATGATCACACCACATATATCTGGGCCTCACGCGTATCACAATCAAGAGCCAGCTATGGAATTGTGATGAGATAAATACTGATCAGCTGCATGCACTCTTGCAAGAAGGAAGTGTCCAACTATGTGCGCAGCTTCTTTAAAAAGAGAAAGTCGTGATAAGCACTCAACCCGGCAATAATGGCTTGATTAATAACTCTAACAAATATTTGTAATCTTGTATGGTTTGTGATTTATTGACATCAAATTGGTCCTTGCTAAAATCAGCAGTTGTTCATATAATCACTTTTGGTGTCCAGCTCACGCAATCATACCAAGAGATATGAGGCAGCTTTTGAAATTAATTTCACGGGTGGGACACCTTATCTTTTTATATCTATTTTTACGCTTCTACAGTTTCATGTGTTTTTTGTACGCTAGTCAAAATTTGTTAGTTTCGCAGTAGCCATGACTCCATGACTCCATGAGCTATATATAGAGATATAGTGGCTTACAGCTTACTTCAGCAATATTTCCTTATTGGAAACTTTGTACTGATGAAAATGTACTTTTAGGTTCGTGAGATTTAAGGTCAATCTGTTTGGGTTGGTTGTATTTTCCCCGATCGTTTTATTAGATATTTAGATTTATCAGTCTTTTCTTCAACATATTTAACTTAAAGCTTTGAAATTTGAGTTGTGTTTTCTTTTAATCACAACTTTCCCAACTTTTGTAACGTTTTGAAACACGTCTTGATAGTAATACTAATATAGATATTATAAATAATCACATTTTTACCAATTTTAACCAATAACCCCCCGCCCCTCACTGTAATCAGTCCCTCTCAGTGATAACGTGATTTGTTGTATGTGAGCGACCCCTGAGGGTCCTGACTCTTAATGATATTAGACAATACAGTTTGAAATAACGAGCACTGTTTCATTATTCTCACTTTACATAGTCTAGACTTCTGACTTTAGAACAATAAGCTTGGTATAGATCACTATATCACAATCCATATGTATTATGTGACATTTATAATATATAGCAGTAGGAAATTAGATGTCGCCACTACACTACTACTACTACTACAGCTAGAGTGCTAGAGCCAGTACATTTTTGCTTATTACTGTTGTATGTGATGGTCATTACCTCTGAATATGGGCGACCCACCCTTCAACTCGGGCTTCAACTCGGGCTTCAAGTCGTAGTACAGTCGGGAGGTACACGCACCCTAGTTTGACACGTACCGAAGCTCTGTTACCTGGGGACCTCAGGCTATTATGTTCATAAACATAGATAGAGACTCGGCGGAATGACAGGCTGAGCGCGGCCCAGTAAAAGCTCTGTAGTTCAACAAACCGTAAAGTCCGACTAGAGTACGCTTGCTTACTGTACTCTACTTCTAGTTCGACACGTACCGAAGTTAGACAGTGGTGATTTCTAGCGAACTTCAGATGTCGAACTAGAGTACTGTTTAACAGCCCAGTCGGGATAGGGCTGTCCAGGTTGCTTATTTTACTTTAATATAACTCTGTTTTTGGTATTCTCGCAATGTTTTTTACTCGATTTCCATATCTGTTATTAAATATTATCAGTCAGAAAGTATCAACGTACATTTTTCAACGTAAGTTATTAATGCTGACAACTAACCCAAATAGAAGTGATTAGAATGCACAAAGATGACCCCAAAAGACGAAGCAAAGTTCATAGTCGGTACACTGATCTCAATAATGGCGCTCTTAGTGTTTGTGTTCGCCCTGACCTGCCCTTGGGTGGAGAGAAGGAATTGGAGGAAACCTTGGCACAGTGCCCACCCACGCGTAGTGTACAGGGTTAATAATATACAGGTTAGTTAGTATAGTAGTAGTAGGGTTTGTAGTTAGGGAACATGTTCAACTAATTTTATGACAATGAGCTAAATTATTTCATCTTTAACATAAATACTTACGTAAATCCTTTTTTCGGTTTAAATATGCTTAATTTTCGAAATTTTGATTTTTTGATGAGAAATTCTTGTGCAAGGCAGAAACATAATAAACCCGTCACCCTGACAGGACAGCGATACGATTGAAGCTAATCCGGTCGCTATACAAAGATGAAAGACAGCAGCTGATTCCATACCCTGACCACCAGAACCAGCCTTTCCTCCAAAACTCACATGCAATACTAGTACAGCTCCGAGCATGAACAATTGAAACAGAGCTTACAATTATTCCCTGAACAAATCACTCACGAACAAATGAACAGACCTGTGATGTTCGTCAAGTCAGACAGATAAGTCGACTACCAATGCATTTGTTACACAAAAGCGAAATGTACAGAACCAGACAGACTAGACCGCAAAAAACGACAAGTGCTGAAAAAGGAGGAGAATATCAGCGCTATGTGTGACAGTGTACATTTAATTTAAGAGTGACGAGTAGAGTGATGATATCTCTCGATCTTTGCGTGTATTTGTACGGCTGCTCTTGCTGTTTAGTGAATTGTAATCATACCTTCCTCGTGATGCAATACAGGGTATTGTTTTGCTTGTCAACTCGATATGTACATACATTTTACAATTACTGATTTAAACATGATTTACATAAAATATAGCTTGTTTCTTGATTTGTACAGAATCAGATGACAGTTTTTTTTTACGTATGGGGTATACTAAGCAGTCCAGTTCCCTTTCAGATTGTAACACAGCTCAGGTTTTACAAGCTTTATATCAATGACTAATACATTATCAAAAAGTACAATTTTCTGACCATTTTTGAAGCAGCCAACAAACTATTTTGTATATGATTTGCATGATGAGATGTTTAAAAGAAACTGACACAACACGTTTAAGATTGGCATGAAATTGTAATGTATGTTAATATTACAGTCGGCACATAACAAAAATAAACTTAGTGTAAACACACCGGCCTATATATTCGCTTACTAATTTCCAGTTTCACAGTCGGGAAATACAGTGTAAACGGCAGTAGAAATACTGATAGAAACCGGTAGATACCGGCCTATATATACTATAATAGTGGCTTACTTCTCTCACAGTCGAAATACAGTTCAAATCATAAATCACGTGGATATTCACAGAGAACCATCACAGATTTCCCATAATACGGTATCAGCCGTCTGAAATTTCATTTGCAAACACACTGTAGCAAAAGGTTAGAACTTGCAATAGCATAAAGGCTCAAACTTTAGAGGCCAACCTTTCGCGGTATGGGAAGTCCGGGAATTTGATGCGACCTTTCGGCAAACCGATATGCTGCTGGATAGGAGGCTCATTTGTTTTACCCTCCCATGAAGTTCCACATTTCAAACTTATAGGTAACATCACGACAAACTTAAGCTCGATTCCAAAAAATTTTCTCATCAATAATAATTATTTGTTAACTCGAACGTAAAACCTCAAAGCAGAATCATCAAATTGGCAATCGGATGTTAAATCACGAAAGATAAACTATTAATATCAAAAATGATCGGTTAATAAGGGTCAAGGTATCATTCTTAACATTGCGATAAAAGTTATACAATGTTCTTGTAAAAAGCCTTGAAAAATGTTATGTATAAGACAATTCTTTGGTAAGGAAATAGATGTTTCACGACATAGTTTCAATGATCCCACCAAATTTTTATCAAATCTAATCAACTTTCCCAACCTTTTAATCCCTAGCTTGTCAATAAATCTGTGAAAACGTATAGCCATATCATTTATCCTAACAATATGGAATCAAATATGAATCAAAATTCATAGAAATCAAGAGGAATGATCATAAAATTATCCGACCTAATCAGCCAAATCGATCGACAGTAAAAATAATAAGTTAAGAAATTTATTCAGCAACAATTTCAAAACTGGACCAGGCATATCATTACAGAGTATAATGGTTTAGGATTAATTCCGTGGTAAAAACAGGAGCTTGGAAATATATATGTTACAATAGCAACTAATAAGGGAATGTCGCTATCTGGAGGGGGACGAAATCGCTAATTAATAAATTGCTAAAATTAAAGTTCAACGTCGCCTCCCTAAATATAGTAACATCAATGTTTTGAATAACCGTGTTTCTCCAACTTAAAGAGATAAAGAACATGCGCCCTCCTGCTGATCATAGAAATCGTTAAAAATCATTAACACTATTTCTCAGCAAAGGGTTGTTTAGTAGATCCGAACAGAATATAAGAATACATCCGAGGATCTTGTATAGTATATCTCGATCAAAGCACGTTGACCCGACAAAATGAAGTAGATGGAGGAGGGATTTTAGCGGTGTTTAGTTTTCATCTTCGTCCTGATATTCAAAAACTTTCTTAGCTTCCTCGCTTACGCGACGTTCTAGCTCTTTCTCTGAAGATAGTCCTGTACATTAACATCGATTAAAACATTAAACAATAAACATCATATAAATATGTTTCTTAAGAACAAAATTAGACTGAGCTGTGAAACTGCCCTACAAAACTATGACCCCACCCTGGTAGAAATGTTAAACTGATCTACAAAACTATGACCCCCACCCCCACCCTGGTAGAAATGTTTAACTGCCCTACAAAACTATGACCCCCACCCCCACCCCCTGGTAGAAATATTAAACTGCCCTACAGGCTGCAAAGTGCAAAAGTATGAACCCTAGAACTCACCCCACTGCTGCTTTACACGAGTAGGTTCCCGGCGGTTGCCACTAAAAGGAGGCTCCTTTTGTTTCATCTCATTCTCCTTCTCAGTACTCTTCCCATTCTCAGCTTCCCTCTTCTCAGGGGCTGGTATCTGGACGAGGTATTGAAATCAAACTCCCACATTCACAGCACACCGTAGATTACAGTAAATGTCACAGTTTTCTGAGTCTAATTTAAATACGGACAATGAAGCGGATCACAACTACTTTGAAAAAAATAAGTTAAGTTCTGTGTTTAAAACGCTTAAAACCTCTTGGACACTAGCTGGTGAGGACGATGCTTTAGATTGTTCTAGATTTGAGAAATGGTTCATTTGGCTCCGTTCTGTCGGCGAAGGCAGGTTCATGATAGGGATTGCAGCCTGAGAACTGTGCCCATATCGACCCTGAACATGGAGACGATTATAGTTTGTTTCAATCATTACTTACCTAATTCGGTTATCCCCGTTAATATATATCAAATACAGCTTTAATTAGTTTAAAAAGGTCGAAACTCGGACTTTTAAAAGAGTTGGACTATTGAAATTGAACTATTGAGTATTGAAAATGGACTATTGAAAATTGTCCAAAAACATTACGGACTAAAATGAAAGCTACGTGAAATCTAATCAACCGATTATTTCTCTTACATTATCAGTGGGACTGAGTTTTAAAGGTGAAGTAGGAGCACTGAAGTTCTCCATAAGTTCAGGAATAGTGATACAGGGAGAGGATGGCCGTGAGTACTGGTCAAATGTGTTGTTACCATGTGTAGGGGAGGCGGGGGCAGACCTGGCGATACTTTATATAACACGTCAAATATTGCAATAATCATAGTTTGTCTCGACACAATTCATGCCATGTTGGCGATGGTATTAAATATAATCACAAAGCAATGAATTGTGTAACGAGACGTTCTCACGCATTTAATATTGTGAAACGTACATAAAAAACAGCCATTAATTCGTCACCAACAGTCAAGTAAAATCTCTTCTTTGTTTGAGCTGTGGTGAACATACCTGGACATCATTCCTAAAGTTGTTCTGCATGGAATTAAACTTCTCTTATTCCTCCTCCTGAAGGCTTGTTCAACAAGTTTAGGTTCGCTGTTCTTGTCCAACCTCCAGAAACTGCCTTTGCCAGGTTCGTCTTGAGCTCGCGGTACTTTTATAAAGTAGCGGTTGAGCGATAGGTTGTGTCTTATACTATTCTGAAATAGCACAGATGTTAGCTGTTAGCTGTTAGCTGTTAGTTGTTAGTTGTTAGTTGTTAGTTGTTAGTTGTTAGTTGTTAGTTGTTAGTTGTTAGTTGTTAGTTGTTAGTTGTTAGTTGTTAGTTTATCAATGTGACTATTTTCAGGTCAGATTTAAGTCTCACCTGCCAGCCCTTGTCAGCTGCTTTATAATACGGGTACGTTTTCATGATGAACTGGTATATTCCACTTAGAGTTAAATGTTTGCTCTCGGAGCTGGCAATAGCTTGGACTATCAGCTGAGCGTAAGAGTAGGGAGGCTTCTCGTCGGCACTCACATCGCAGTTAGCTTGGGTCAGTCTGTTCGCAACTGAGATAGGAGATGATAAGTTACTCGGGGAGATGCTGGCAATTAAAACTTTTGTTATAAAATAGTAAAATATGTAGTTGAAGTGCGACCATAATCAGGTGGATCGTTCTAAAGAAATGGTGCGATTTTAATTTCTTAAAAATTTTAATTGCCTATAAAAGAAAAAATGTAATTCGGAGAAAACACTGATAGTTAAATGAACACAACTAATAACCATTTATACCTTCCAAAGCTCTTTGTTCAGACTTGATTCTGTCGGCGGCAGCCTGTAGAGTTGCCATGTGATCCGCCATAGATTTGTGATGTCCTCTTGGTGACACGGGGCATGAATTAACGGCACTGAAATAGTTTTAAAATCAGTATAAGTCAATTGTCCCTTTTCAGGCTACATTTACGTAGGTACATTCTAGATTTCTGTTTACGTAATCTACGGCGTGTCGGAGGATTTCTACAATTTATTACAAAAAACGTGCGTGCGCGCTGTTATCATCACAAATATTTTGATGCTGTCGCGCACAATGATGTTTTGAACATGGCGGAAAACTACAAACCCGCGGCCGGAAACTGTTGTCGATCTTTGTCATCGTCACATCCCCATTTCATGACATCACCCAAAACAGAGGTGTGTTTTAACGTGTTTGAATAACTTGAGCATGATGACGGAATGTTGTAAGACTCTCATATGTTTAATGTTTTAATTCGGATTTCGGCGTTTGTTTACATGTAGTGATGTTAGCCTTCAACTTTAAAGCGCAAATTTGCTAGTTAAAAGCTAACTTGGCCGCACAATCCCACATTTTCATTTACACGACTTTAAATTGAAGCTAAGGACAAGTTGCGGAAGTGCTAGTTCAGAGTTGTGCTAACCACAGGCAATATATAATGGATGAATTAAAAATTAGGTCTCACAAATATAAAACGGTTCACTTGACGAAACTGCCGAGATCTAATTACAATTTTCAGGTTCAGTTGACGTCAAAAGAATAGCCTAGAAAGGTTACGAGTTTTTAATACGTCCATTTCATTGATTATACGTTGTCTTATCTGTTTCTAGGCTGTTCTAAATGGTCTCATTTGTTATACTAATATCAGTGTGCTTCAGTTATATTGCTTCTGGTTACACTTGGTAACTGTTGATATTATGTCACTTGACTTTAACCCTTATACATGCGCTACAACGCATATCGAATAGTGTTAAACAATTTTCACTGCCATTATTCTAAAGATAAAGTAAGATTTTTCGCGAGCGATTCACATTATGGTTTGTGTGTAGGAGTAAAGCACTAATAGGAGAGCTCTGACGTAGGTGCAATAATGGGAAAAGTGTACAAACATCTATGAATATGCCATCCAAATTATAATATGTCATATGCATGAATACTGAATATGGTATGAACATTTTAAAATGCATAGAACTCCAGAAGTAAGCCTGAATCACAGTTGTTACAAACCCAAAAGGTGGGATGCTGTTTTAACTCATTAATGATGTATAAGTGATGTAAGAGTCACTCACTAATTTTGAAGACAGTGAAACCTTAAAATTTAAATAGCTAAATTTATCCCTCTTTTTAAAGCCTATTGATATTTTATAAAAGAATTGCCGAAGTGGTAAAAGCATCATCAGCAAATAATAAATCGTTGTTACATGAAACTTACACACAAACCGTGTACAGATAAACTAAAATAAAAGATGATAACCTGAAAGTGTAACCCACCTGATGGTATGAGTTGGAGAAGGACAGGGAGATATCATTATAGTCCTGTCAGGTCTAGTAAAAGTAACAGTATTGATGGGATAGCGCGTAACGACAGGAGCTGGCGGCGTGTATTGGTGCTGCTGGGGGTTGTGTGGTGGGGGCGCGTGGTGCGGCGAGGATGTTCCTTCTTCTGACGGGATTGTCGTGAATTTTACTCGGATGTTGGTGCTGGGGAACCGCAACGTACAGCTGAAATTAGTATTAGTTATAATATTTTATAGTATTAGTATTAATATAATTCCGGGAATTATATCCCCGAAAAGTCGTGAACACTGGTAACTGATAATTTCCCGCATATGAAGCAAGGGTTGCCTGAGTATTATGAGGACAGACTGCGAGTCACCTCAGACTGGCTGGCGGGAAGTTTCAAAACAAATAACAATTGCGCACTATCTATTACACACTATATTATATCAACGATCGTATCACATTACACATTGTTTCATCCAGAACGGGAAAAAATTATAACAAATAATACCTTGGCTTAGTTATCGTGCCGGGCTCGCCCTCCACTAAAGTGTCGAGCATTATCGCCCGTAGCATTCAACAGCCAAGGTATTAATGTATTATAATTGATAAAGAACAGAGGGGTGATAGACGGAATGTGCCATCTTGTTCGTTAAATTGCAGCACAGACTGCCCAGTAGCACAGACTGCCCAGTAGCACAGACTGCCCAGTAGCACAGACTGCCCAGTAGCACAGACTGCCCAGCAGCGCAGACTGCCCAGTAGCACAGACTGCCCAGTAGCACAGACTGCCCAGTAGCACAGACTGCCCAGTAGACATCAGGGGTAGAGACGAACCTTTATACTTATCCTATTATCTTAGACGGGATATGATTTCAGGGACACATCATTGCAGGGTATTATATATAAAATATAAATGTGCACGAGTCCTCCACGCTTATCACTTACTATTATTCAAAACAGTGTTATCTTGTTACAGTTTGGAAATTTTCCAAGACACTGTAACACAAGACAATATCGCGTTGCCAACTTTCAAAGCTAAATATTACTTTTTATCTCTGTTTAATTACAGTGCAATGTCTGCTGTTTGGTAGTACCAGTTCAAAAACCACCTTGCTAACAGAATAAAAAACATAACTCCAATTATGAACCAATGTAATACTATAATACCTCCGCCACTGAGTGCTGCGCGCTATAATTCCCGACAGCTTGCTGGAGGGAATTTGCGGGCACGAAGTTGCGGAGGTATTATATTTTATAATACGTTCCGGTTCCGATTGCAGAAGGGGTGTAATCCGATACGTGCGCATCATACAATATAGTGTCTAATATATAGAACGCCAGTGTTATTTGTTTTGAAACTTGCCGCCAGCCAGTCTGAGTCTGGGCTGATAATACCCTCGCTTCTCTTGCGGGAAAAATGAGCAAATTATCAGCCCTCGGTGTCCCCGAGTTTTAGTGGATATAATTCCCGGAAGGTATTATAAATATTAACATTCGCTGGGGATTTAAACAAGTCAGTTTAAACATTAGAATCGCATTAAACACTTTGCTTGTACATAAAACTCCAAATATACTCGAATAATGATTGCTACGTGACGGAATAAGTACGGTTACATTTTCGTGTTTTAGTGGAACTTATGCTAAAGCTGACGCGACAAAAAGATTGCCATATTTTATGCTCCAAAATTCAAATATATTAATCCACCCTTTTGCAACTGGTAACAAGTTCCCTTGCATAATAAAAACATTTTCAATATCGTTTATGTTATAGCCCAATAAATGTGAACTATTTAAAGTATCTATATACTTTAAATAGGTACAAATCTATAACATATATATATAGATTATGGGGAGGGGAAACCGGAAATGACTCTCACGATTTTACAGTTTTTTAAAGGTATTACAAGACCTTGTACCTTTTGGGAAGTTTAACAGACTCGCTCTCCTTAGACTGGAACAAATCGTCAACAAAGATCCCATTTTTAGAGTGACATTTCAAGAAGAACTCCCTGCCATCCCTTCTCAAGGTTAGATGGTGTCGTGAAATGAAGCTGCTTTTACCCATGGATACGTCCACATCTCCAGCGCTACTGTTTCTTCCTATTGTAATACTTCTCTTCCGGACCTGGGAGTTACAGGAACTTAGATAACATCTTTATGGTTTAGGGGTTAATCTAAACTTTTAAACGATACAGATCTCTGATTTTAATTAAAATACAAACTGTTTCGTAATTTTTTAAATCCATTGGAACTGAACCGGAAAATAATTTCAAGGAAAAAATAACATCAATTTGTTGAGGTATATCATGTGATGGGTTTGATTCAACAACACTATAACTTTGTTTTATTTGTCAGACCCTATCATGTTCTTGAGGGAGTTGTTTGTCATTTCTGCAGAATGGAACAATCCTACTCCACTCTGTCGCTGTGGTTTTACAGACACAAAAAGTTAGTTATTGAGTAGTACTATTGCTTGTTTTGGAGGTGAGAAAACGTGAAGAATATGTGAAGAATATGTGGAGAATATGTGAAGAATATGTGAGAATAACAACTTACCAGATACTCAAATTCCTTTCCCTCTAACTTGGCGAAGCTGCGAGTTGAGCTAGGTAGATATTGAGGGAGGGGTTTCATGTTGTTTTGAAAGGCTGGAAAATCTGCATTGCCACCTCCCACGCCCTCTGAGATGAATTAGAATTCGATGAAATTGATTATGGGCACTTTCAAAAACTATGTTAACGAATCTGTCACGGGAAAAATTTCAACTTCTAGAAGCTCTCATTTGGTGGATATACTCAATATTTTGATCAAACTGTGCGCCATCTACAGATTTGCGATAGTACAACGTTTACAAAAAGAATAAAATGTCTACTATGTCTATAAGCAGAGATACATGCATTTAACTCGGGCTAATAAGGGTATATAATAAATTGAAAATGATATGGATCTTGTTATGAATAAATGTTTCATAAATGATACAAGAATTAGTAGTTAAATCGAAGTAAATCCAAGTTATTCTCTTGAAATAATCACACACCTGGGTCATTACTAGGGATAGCAAAGGCAGGAAGGAAGTATCCACCTCTTGTGTTCTCGTCGACAGCAGCCATCATGCTACTACTATAATTAAGGTCAGGTTACACTTTTAAAATATATCAAAATAAATACATGGGGCCAAAAGTCATTACCCATACGTTGGGTCTTATGCCACCGCCGTGTTTTATATTTGAGAGTTGTTGCTTTGCAGATGGCATACTGTACCTACTTGTTCGAGGACTCCGTCACCAAAATTTGAAAAATTCGATTTTTGGGGGCCACACCCAATCAACATTGAATTGCTTATACTCGTGTTTGTGAACATGTTTAGAGACTCCGTTGTAACATATTACAATAGCTCATTTAATCCGGAATATAATCTGAAAAGATGGTGCGAAACGGATTTAAAATGACGAAGTTATCAAGCAATTTTTTTGTCTCGTTAGCAAAATTGATTGGGTACTCAATGATTACCGAATTACGACACCGTAATTGGGCTCTCTGCACGATTCCCATAATGCGGATCTAGCCTCAACCGAATCACCTGATCACACGCAATGAACAAACTCGTTATGCTTCATATCTTGGTCATCTGAGAAGCTAGAACTATCATTCTTTCATGACAAACGTAATTAAAGTGACCAAACACCATTCAATAACATTTGGCTCGATCCGACTATTCAAATAAATGCGAAAATGAACCTTCATTTGAAAAAATGAACATGAATATTTTTTGATTTGACAAATTCATCGAACCAGTGGTGGAAGTAAACTTCATACCAGAGAAAATTATTTCAATTGGGCACTCAGTGACTGTTTAGTGTTTGACCAAATTTTTGAATTTCCAATCCATAGGATAGTTTCATATGACTATTATCTCCATATTTATAGACTTTTTTTCGTTAAATGGTACCACCAATTCTGTCACACATTTAAGAAATTTATATGAGGGATTTTTATGACATCCTGACAAGAAATGCCGAATAGTCTAGCATTATTTTGTTAGCTGAATGACGAATGTGTTGGGAATTGTTAACATATTTATACCAGTTACTTAAACACCTTATATTACGTACTATGGATCAATTAACATTATTTCAACCACACACCGGTTTTAATACTTTTAGCAAAACAAAATTTTATTTTATACCCACGCCACAAACAATTCATATTTAGTTCAAATATTTAAAATCGAAATAACCATTTCACAGAAGTGGTTTTATTATAATAAAATTATTTTTTGATATGTGTACAAGTGATAAATTAATAAATTAATTTACACCAAAAAATGTACAAAAAATACACAATTTGTACTCTGCAACACTGGTTCAGCGCGCGGCTGATAAAAAAGTTTGGTTTGCATTTACTAACTACAACTTACATGAAAAGATAACTTACTGAATTGTTTAATACTAAATACATATTAAGTCTGGCGTTGTTCAATGAATTAGCCACGAAAATGTTCAAATTTTATTAACGATCTGACTACAGACTGGCGTTTCGCGGTTGCGAATGCCGGCCCATCGAGGAAAATCTTTTTACTTTGTTTTTTAACCATTATAAAGTATGATTAGTCGGATAATGGCTATAGTACTGAGTTCAAACAGTTCCCGAAACGAAAAAGCAAACATTTGATTTTTGTTTCGGCGACTGAATCGTCGATGGGCCGGCAAATATCTGTTGTCGAGTAGTGTTGAATACTCATATTAATATGATTATTGATTTAATTTAGGAATTGTATATAAATATCTTTGACCAAGTTTAATTGTCAATGAGAATGCTTTGATGTTAGCGGCTACAAGCTAGGCAGCTGCAGAAAAAATGCAGCGCGCGTCCAGCGTACGGCTTTTCGTTTTTGATTTTACAAATGACAAAGCAACTTTTAATCATTGTTAATGGAATTATCGGAGTTTTATAATTCAATATGTATTGATTCTTCTGAGGAAAATAAAAATTGTATTTTACTTAAAAATTGTATTTTACTTGTGTATAGTAGGAGGGTAAAGGATGAGCAATTCACAATTGCTAATAATGCTTCTTTGAGCCCGTAATTAAAATTTGTGTCTTCTTGACTACAGGAGGCGGTTCAGTACCAAAGTCATAAAGCAGGGAAGCAGCTGAAATATAGGATGCAATCCTTTTTTAATACAAGGACATAAATTAAATTAGTGAAAGCACTACGTGATTTGATTTAATTTATCATTTTAAGCTTTTTTATCCTTGCCATTTCCTTTTGTAGGTTTACAACCTACCAGGACGCGCGCCGAGTTGGACTCGTCGACGGTCCAATATATGGAACAGATATTTTACGAGTATCACCCGTTAACATTTCCTTCCCCCCAAATAAAGCTGAACAAGACTAACATGCTGTCGAGTATGAGTTATAATTATTTGCTTCATCGATATTATTATAGTAAAGGGCCTTTATAGTTTATTTTTAAAGGCATATTTAATTAATATATACGCTAGGAATCCCAAATTTACTTAGCTCTCATTTTACTTTTCAAAAATCATTAATCGTTAACGATTAAACAGTTTTTGACTATTTTGAATGTTTGCTGATCGGAGCATCCCCTTTTAGAGCATGCGCTGCTCAGTAAAGACACGCATAAAACTGCTGCTAACTGCTGAAAATGGCGGGCGCATGACAGCAGCAGTTAGCAGCAGTTAGCAACAGCAGTCAGCAGCACTTAGCAGCACTTAGCAGCACTTAGCAGCAGTTAGCAGCAGTCAGCAGCAGTTCTTTGCACTTTAGTCTCTCTGTGGTTAGGGTTTCAGCATATGCTTTTGTTAAGGATTGAGTAGGGTTAGGGTTGGGATCAGACTAGAGGGTTAGGACTTAGGGTTTCAAATATTCGTTCAGGGCTGGCTTGAGACTGGGTTGAAAAAGTCACGTAACAGTCGAGTATAGAGTGATTAATCATTATCCCTATTCAAGCTTCTTAAAATCTGAAAGGTGCAGTTTACATTTTATATGATCTCCCGCGAAAGCACATTCCGAATCTTCATCTTTCGTAATTTATTTTTAAAATCAATATGTGCACTTTTATTTATGTAAATCATTTTTGACTTGGGAAACTTTTAAAATATAACAAACTCAACACTATTTGGTATTTATTTGTATATTGTCATAACTTATTTCTCCGTAAAAAGCACCATAGCCTAAATAGCTTTTGAGGTGCCTCGGAAGTGATGGATGATGATTATGGATTAACGGGTGATACTCGTAAAATATCTGTTCCAACTCGGCGCTCGTCCTGGTAGGTTGTAAACCTACAAATTATGGATTAATCACGTTACACTCGACTGTCATGTAACTTCTTCAACCCGTTCTGTATAGCTAGCCCTGAGCGACTATCCGAAACCGCAACCCTCTAATCTGATCCCAACCCTAACCCTAACCCAATCCTTAACAAGATAATATAATGCTGAAACCCTAACCCTAACAAGAAATTATACCAATTTCCTTATACAGTCTTACCTGGGGACCCCAGGCTATAATGTTCATAAATAGAGATTCGGCCGGCGGAATGACAGGCTGAGCGCCGCCTGCAGTAATATACAGTCATATCACGTGATCGAAACAGTTTTTCGCCAATATCTCGACAGGGGAGCATTTTAACTCTATATGTCATTGGTCATGGGAGATTATTCGAAATTAGCGTCCGAGAATAATATAATATACATACACATATTCGATTCAAACTGGTTTTGGGGGCCAGCGGGGCCCTTTTAGAAAAATTTCAAAGATAAAGTGATTTAGCACTTTTGGAAAATAACATTAGTGAAACAAATTTTTTAGTGAAACAAATTTAAAATATTATCCTTTATTTTACAATCATAATATAATAATATTTATAAGCCTTCGTTTTGAAAGTTTTAAATTTTAATATATTCACATTACTATTTAAAATTCAATTTAATGTATAAGTCAATAACTGGCCGCCAAAGCCGCGCATTCTTGAAAAATTGTTTCTTCCGTCCGTTTATTACCTGGGGACCTCAGGCTATCATGTTCATAAAAATTTAGAGATTCGGCGAAATGACAGGCTGAGCGTTACCTGAGGACCCCAGGCTATTATGTTCATTAACATAAAGAATAAAGATTTGGCGGAATGACAGGCTGAGCGCGGCCCAGTAAGCTGAGCGTGGCCCAGTAATCCATTTATGATTTAACGGGTGATACTCGTAAAATAACTGTTCCATATATTGACGAGTCCAACTCGGCGCGCGTCCTGGTAGGTTGTTAACCTACAATAATCCATTTACTATTTGTTTTTCGTTTAACTGTTTTCGGCCGTCTAATTGACTAAAATCATTAATCAATTTTACTGATTTGTGATTGTTAATGGACTAACCCGGCGCGCGCGCTACTTAGAAAAAATGTAAACAAGTATCATTTATTTTTTAATTAATTCCTCAATTTGGCTGATTAAAATTAAAAATCTAAATGTTTGTAGGTTTACGATCTACCAGGACGCGCGCCGAGTTGGACTCGTCGACGGTCCTGTATATATATATGGAACAAATATTTTACGAGTATCACCTGTTAACTAAATGTTTAATTACGGGTGATACTCGTAAAATATCTGTTCCATATACAGGACCGTCGACGAGTCTAACTCGGCGCGCGTCCTGGTAGGTTGTAAACCTACAACTAAACGTCAGCTTTTAATTTTAGGAAATACGGACATTTATTTCTTACCCATTACCAATTACCTGGGCACTGGGGACCCTAGTAGGCAGTACAGGCTATAATGTTTATAAAACATTATAGGCAAAAGCCACGATACGGCCGCGGTGGGCCCACAACCAACTTGTATCACGTCGTGGCTCCCACTACACGTTTGCGTTTCACTATGTAGAGTTTCTACGATACAGGGGGAGCCACGCACTCGTGCGCGGGTCATACAACGTATGACAACAACCAACAACTAAACGTAGTATGACCATGTGTTGATACACGTTGTATATTATATATAATAGTGTATACCTTTGGCCACGAAAAGATGTATATTATACAACGTGTATTTTGACCATTGTTAATGGTCTGGCCCGGCGCGCGCTAAGCTTCAATCACGCGTAG